TATTAGCATGGGGAGCTGCATGTTCCTCACATATCTATAATTTAGATGTTTTTCAAAAAAGTATTCTAAAAATGATATTTAAAAAACCGAAACTTTATCCCACTGAAAAATTATACGCAGATGTTCGAATGTATGATATAAGACAGCTTTATTTCTTACACAGTATCACTCACTACCATAAATTTGTAAACACCGACCAAAAAATTAAACATAATCATTATACCAGGTACAAAATTCGTGGCACAGTAGTTCCTCAACCGCATAAATCTATAATGCAGCGATCATATCTCTATTTAGCGCCTAAATTTTATGAAATTATACCTAAAGACTTAAAAGATTTACGTTTCGGAAATTGTTTCAAAAGAAATTTAAAAAAGTGGCTACATTCTATATCTAGGACTGAAATTCATAAACTCATAAATACGAACATCAACTAAATACATAATCTACTGTAGCTAATTTTTGTCCTTTTTTGTCATTTGCATTCTACAGTTTCAACTTAAATTTATTGGTCCATGTACAGGCGATGCCTTCTATTGGGCCTGTTTTGATTTTATATTCATTTACTCATATTGTTTGTTATCTTTGTACATTGAGTGAATAAATATTATTATTATTATTATTATTATTATTTGGCTATTTTTTATATAATCAGTCTATTTGGAAATAAAGACGTTTATTATTATTACTTCACCCCCCTTCACCCTCGGCCCCTAGCGTCATTCCCTTAAAAATTTTAAATGACAAGGGGTATCAAGTAATAGCTTGTTTGAAAGGTCTTTAGAAGTCCTTTAATTAGACGTTTGATTTTTTAAATCAGTCGAGTCATCTTCGAGAAAATTAGAAAAATCTTTATTTATCTTAATTTGTTCAGATAGAAAACAAAACAGACGAAAATATTACTTTTTATTTCAATAAGTGTTAGGGTTTGCCAAATCTACAATTCGTTTATAATTTAAAATGGAAACCCGCAACATAAACATCTATTTAAGCTTAATTACTGTATATATTATTTAGTCGATTGCTATTCATTGTTATATTTTTCCTTTTGTATGTGTTCCTGCGCTGTGAGGTTAAGTGGTAGAGTAGCCAGCTGGCTAAACTTCGCCTCGCAGTGTGGAGGGATTAATAAAGACATTATTATTATTATTATTATTATTATTATAAACAGCAATTCGGAAAATTAGACATGGCAGCAACCAAATAACAACCCGAATTTTTTCCGCATTCCTTATTTAGTTATTTGTTGCTAAGGGGAAGAACTATAGTATATTCAGATAAGAGATAGACCGGATGTAAACAAAAGGTTCGGGTGATTTTCACGCTAACGCCGCCGTCTCGACGTAAAACAGGAGCCCTCATTGGTCAATTCGCAATTAAATGCCTATGCCGAGCGGCAGAGCAGTCGTATCAAGGCAGAGTCACATTCAGGTTCAGACGTGTTACGTATGTCGTGTGCATCATTGCAATTTGATATTTCTTTGGACGTTTTCGTTTGTTATCTTATTAAGTTGTTGAGTTTGTCGTTGTTATTGTTATACCTTGTTATTGATTGTTATCAACTGCTTGCGCAAAATGCCCAGTAGTACAGATACTGCCGATGAAGTTGTAAACTCCTGTAGTCCACCTAGGAAACGCTCTAAAAAAGACACCTGAGAGCAGAAATGAAAGAGGTCATTTTGAATATATATAAGATCGAGCGCGAGGAGAACGAGGCATCAACCATCAAAGAAATTGTTGTGAAGGTTTCTCACAAAGTTGGGGTGTGTCGCGCATCAGTGTTTAATGTGTTAAGACAATACAAAAAAAATCACACCTTTTCTGAGCCAATGACCAGTAAACATCGCAAAAGTATTGTTAAATCATTGGATGAAGCTGATAAGCATGCGATTAGGAGGAAAGTGCATGAATTCTTCTTTAGGAATGAAATACCTACTATAGATAAAGTACTGCAGGAGGTAAATGGAGATACAACGTTGCCAAATTTCAAACGATCAACTTTCCATGCGTTACTGAAGCGTTTAAATTTCAAATGGAAAAAACGGGGTCGTAATAGTTTACTACTGAATAGAGAAGAAATTGTGCTATGGAGGAGGGATTATTTAACAAAAATTGGGAAATATAGAAATCAAAACAGGAAGATTTATTACCTTGATGAAACGTGGGTAAACGCAGGACACACTACAAGTAAAGTATGGGTTGATGATTCTGTAACTTCATCCAGGAGGGCCTTTCTAGATGGACTGTCCACCGGATTAAAAAATCCAGCAGGTAAATACGAGTAATAGACAACAATCGGATGTTTTTCAAACCTTGGGAACAAGGTTCTAAACATTAATTCCAGGGGGCAGATAAAACATATTACAAGTAACAAAACTTTTATAACTTTCGATAAAATGCGTGGATGTTTTATTGTCATTTTCATTTGTTAGACCTTTTTTAAGCCATGTTTTTATGTGTTTTCGATATTTCAATAATTTTTTAATATAATCTTAAAATATGTCGAATATTATAAACTTAAAAAAAGTTACTAAGTTTTATATTGTGTACCGTTCCTAATATTTCTAATCATTTTAATTCATACTTTAAGCTTTATAAAGTTATAATTTGTTAATATTAATATTTGCGCGTATTTCAGGTTCCTGATCATTCATTTTTTAAAGGTTTATAACTTTAAATTAAATTGTGAAGCGCTGAGTAATCATACGACGTTCAATATTCTTTCTTTCAATATGACTAAATAATCCCAATTATAGCAATCTGATACTCATGTCTCAATGTTTTTTCGCTGAATGTGATGAAAACATTTGAAAAAGGTTCGCTTATTGAAATAAATCTACACCAGTTAGTACTTCGATTTCCAGGTAAAGGGAAAAGGCTCATTATCTGCCATATTGGCAGTGAGGATGGATTTGTTGTTGACGGTCTGTGGTGCTTTGAGTCTAAGAAAACTGGAGATTACCACGAGGAAGTGAATGGCGAATCGTTTGAACAGTGGTTTTCAAAAATTTTACCGAACTTAGAGGAAAACGCAGTAATTGTGTTGGATAATGCGCATTATCATTCTCGAAGAATGGAGAAGGTCCCAACAACGGCTTCAAGGAAAGTTGATGTTCAAAATTTTCTCCGCTCGAAAAATATCAACTTTGAAGAAGTAATGCTGAAAGTACAATTATTAAGAATTGTCAAGGATCACAAGGCGGAATATCAAAAATACGCCATTGACGAAATGGCAGCAAGTCAAAATAAAACTGTGCTCCGTTTACCTCCATACCATTGCGAGGTCAATCCCATTGAGCTCATATGGGCAGAGGTTAAAAATTATATAGCTAAGCACAATATAACTTTTAAATTTTGTGACATCAAAGGACTTTTCAAAGAAGCACTAGAATTAATAACAGCGCAAAAATGGGAAAACTGTATTAAGCACGTGAAAGACAAAGTTGAAAAGAGAATGTGGGAACTGGACAATATTTTAGAGGAACAAGTCGAGCCATTTATTATTGACGTTGGTGCTTCAGGCAGTAGCGATGATGAAAGCTCATCAAGCTCATCTTTCCAATAAAAGATGTCGTTCATCAAATTCGGTAAGTTATAAGTAATTATAAAGCTACTGTATTTTTTAACTAATTATTGACATTTTTGAACCCATTTTGGCAAAACCTATTCAAGAATCTACTTTCTGACAATGTTCAACCATGCACATTTTTTTACGTTTTGAACGTTTTAATTTGGTTACATATTTACCTAGAAATCAAAAAATATACTAATCAATATTCTAAAAGCAATTTTAAGAGATATACGATTATTTTTAATTTAGGCTAATTTAAACGCCATTTTGAGATTATATTCGACTGTATTTCACCAAACATCAGGCGGCATCCGAAGCTGGAAATCGAAGCGAAAATTTTGAAACCCTTATGTATATTTACATCATTATATATTTCTTACCCCACCCCCACATGATCCTATATCCATCACCAATCGTATACACGTCGAATTGTGCTAATTTACTACAAAGTTACGCAAAACAGCATCTACTATCTAAAATATGTACTGCGTTAATACGTCCCTGCCGAATGTTACAGCGTTCGATGATCACGTGGTCTTGTTTATGTCCGGTCTATCTCTTATCTGAATATACTGTAATTTAATTTGCTGCCAGTTACCTTTGTGACGATCTTGGGATAGTGAAAATTAATTTATTAATTCAGATTTTACTTCCAAAATGGTTTACACACTAGCCGAAAGAGTGGAAATGATTATAATTAATGGTGCCCAAAATCAATGTGCTCGACATCCGGGGAAGATAACTTCGCATAGATACGTTTTGGACCTTGTTACTACATTTACTCAGACTGGATCTGTTGCAAACAAAAAACGTCATCATCGGAGAGTTTTGGATGAAGCCGGTCAAGTTTTGGGTCATTTTGGAAAAAATCCTAATATTTCATTACGCAAAATTGTTGCTTCGACTGGTCTTTCATTAGGCTCTATACACACAGTTACTAAACTCCATAAATTTCATCCATCCGAAATGAAAATATTGCAAGAGTTAACCGATGATGATTTCGATAGGCGAGTTGGGTTTTGCGAATAAATGACTGCAGCGATTAATGATAATACCATTCATGTAAGGAATATCTGCTTCAGCAATGAATGGACATTTTATCTACTTGTATATGGATTTGTTATTGAGTATAACTGCAGGTATTGGAGCCTCTTATTAATAAAAAAAGGCGTGGCAACTTATAATCAATTAAATAATAACCGCCTATTAAGCAATGTTTGAGTTGAAGTGGTGCATTTGCATTTTTCATGAATCTACCTTCTAAGGATTTATGCTCAAGACCTCCCAACACGTTCCTCCAAGTATTTTTTCTTTCGGAAGGCCAGAAATATATCATACTGAATTTTTAGGCAATTCGACTCACATCCATTATCTGTATGTTTTGTGCGGGGTCCTTTATGAAAAACTGCATGCAGTAACTGACAATCACTCACCACATTGACGAAATCTTGAAATGTAATAGCAGCAGTGCTGGCAGTTCTGTATTTTTCCAGAAGAATCTCCCTCTTTCCAGTGTTGACTCGTTCCCGAAACTCGGGATCCGACATGGCCTGTACGAAATCAGGCCACGGGATCTCGCCGAAACCCTCTGGGTCGTATTTGTCGAAAAACTGGCGCCATTGCTGAAAGAAAGGAATACATTCATTAATTAATTTTATACCATTTCTATTCTTATTTCGAACAGCAAAAAACGGCGTCAATATCACAAATGCCGACCGAAGAGCTTTAAGAAGAATAATCGTGACAAACAGGCGTGCCAATTATTTACAATTAAGTGCTCTGTGGAGTGACGCTGTTGGAAGGAGAATTTCGAGGTCCACAATTCATAGAGAGGCCCACAAACTGGGATTTAGCACTTCTGTAAGGTAAGTTTTCTTATAAAAAAAGTGAAGCAAAAACCCTAAAGTTACACAACTTGTTTATAGGCCAAAGAAAAGCCACTATTAACTCCACTGCAAAAGAAAAATCCGCTTAGATGGGCTAAAGAACATAGACAATGGACACCTCAACAATGGTGTGCAATAAAATGGAGTGATGAGGCCCGATTCGAAGTTTGTGTTGGTGACAGCCGCAGTAGAGTTATTCGCAAAAAAATGTAGCATTCCAAGTTGACTGTCTGAAGAGAAAAGTGAAATTTCCAGCATCCATTATAGTCTGGGGCAGTATGTCATCAAAAGAAGTAGGAAAACTTTATTTTATTGATGGAAATGTGGATACAAACAAATATTTAGCACTTTTAGAAGAATCGTTTTTACCAGTGATGGAAGAATGTTTTGACATCCGGCCAAGATTTTGTGTTTCAGCAAGCAGCCTGCCATACCTCAAAAAAGGCTATAAAATGGATGGAAGAAAATAATGTACCACTTTTGAAATGGGTTTCTACCAGTTCAGATCTGTCACCTATTGAAACTTTGTGGCACGAGATGAAGAAGGTTCTACGACAACGTCTTGCTCGTACAATCACCGAACTGAGACAAAAGCTTCAAGAAATATGGGATTGTTTTACACAAAATTTTTGCCAAAACTTAGTTAACACTATGCCCCAAAGAATTTCAGCCGTAATAAAAAATAAAGGTGATGTTACCCAATGGTAATCTTTCAATTGTTGCTTTGTTAACTTTATTCGTACATTGTTTATTTGTTCAGATGTTCTATTTGTTATAGGTCTAAGTGATTCAAATATGTATTTTTTACGACTAGAGTAAAAGTAGCCCCTTCCCAACTGAAGTGGGAAGGGGCTCGTATATTCCTAACAATTAAATAATAATGCTTCACGATAAACGAAGCCATAATCTTCGGCGACTTGTAGCGGAAGGTTTGGATTTTAATTTAGATACCTTAAAACCCCAAGAATAGTGATTGTTAACCAAGTTCTTGGGCTTTGAAAATTGATCATTTATAGATTTTTTCAGACTTTAAATTGCTTATAACGTAAGCGAACAGTTACCAATGGCCTTTTTTGTTCAAAGTGACCCGAAAATCTATTTATAGGATGTTATACAAGACGTTTGAGGGCACATTTCTAAAATATTGGCCATTATACAGGGTGCTCCATTTTCAAAGTTGTGATTTGTCAAACATTTGAACTTCGGACTTCTTGAACATACATATATATTTTTCCGCAATCGGATAATTTTTTCAGGAGATTTGCCTCACAGGGGTGCCTCACCCGAAGGGGTCCCGGACTTTACTTACTGCTTTATATAGGTAGCCTTTTCATCCTTGGCATAGTAGTAACATTGTGTAAATATTTCAACAAAATCCGAGCGGTACTTCTCAAGTTATGGGCGGTTATAAAATAAGCGGACAGACAGACAGACTGACCGAAATGAGTGACATGGTTTCTTTTATGTATATGTCATATTATAACATCCAAAAAACATAATACAGCAGACGCTCGATAATGTAAACTAATTTAATCCAAGTGTGGTTCACATTATCGAAATGTTTACATTAGCGAACGGGATTTATATAATATTTGATTTATTAAAAGAAACGTTTAATACATACTATTTATAACAAAATAAACAAATATTCTAACAGCGATAAGTATTTTTTTAATTAGAAGAAAAATAATTAACAATTTTTGTCTGCGTAAATTTGCGCTTAGCATTGTCTTCCAATGCCTGCGCCCGTAATTTACGAAGAACTAAAATATCCGTGTATGAGACTTCTTTTCTTTCAGCTCAATCTAAAGCTTGGTTAAAAACTTGTATAGCTTGCGCGTCAGTCACTACACTTCTGACTTCAATGGGATCGTTCTCATCATCCTCACTGTCCATATCCTCCTCCTTATCAGCATGATTGGTCTGCTTATCTTCGTTCCATAAATTAATATCAGCAGGAGTACAAACAATGTTGGGATTCACTGTTTTCAATAAATCAACAACATCCAATGACACACTAATAACATTACACTGGACAACAAATTTTAGTTTTTTAATTGTATCTTGTGGGAAAAGTGCATTTCTTTGTTAATTTTGGGGCGCTGAATCCAAAAATGACAATGAAATAAAAAAATTAGTTGCGGTTTAGAAAAAAAACTTTTTATTTTTAAGGATATATTAAAAAAAGTAACAAGATTCATATACTTATAAGAATCACTACCTATATGCGCTGTCTTTTTGCTGTACTTTTATGGATCGTTTCTGGAGCATCTCTACCAAGAGTCCAACAGTAGTCTGCAAGCATGGAAGCATTCCACTTTCCCTGGTACCTTTTTTCCATTGTTGAAATATTCTGATGAAAACGTTCGCCGTGCTCATCACTTACGGCTCCGCAATTGTCAGGAAAAAAGTCCAGGTGTGAGTGTAGGAAATGTATCTTAAGAGACATATTACAGCCCATCTTTTGATACGATGACAGGATATTTTTGACAAGGGTTTTATAGTTGTCAGCTTTTCTATTTGCCAAGAAATTAGTGACCACCAGACGGAAATCATTCCAAGCAGTTTTTTCAATACCTGTTAAAGTGTTTTCAAACTGTGTATCTTTCAAAATATTTCGAATCTGTGGCCCAACAAAAATACCTTCTTTAACCTTTGCCTCACTTAGTCTTGGAAATTTCTGACGCAGGTATTGAAAGCTGACCCATCTCTATCTAATGCCTTGACAAAGTTTTTCATTAGGCCCAACTTGATATGCAGTGGTGGTAATAAATTTTTTTTCGAATCTACTAATGGCATATGCTGTACATTTTTTTGACCTGGCTCTAGGAATTGACGAACAGGCCAGTTTTGTCTGGTGCAATGAAGTGCCTTTGCCCGACTGTCCCATTCACACAAAAAACAGCAAAACTTTGTGTAGCCTAGCTGCAGCCCAAGTAAAAGTGCAAAAACTTTCAAATCGCCACAAATATGCCATTGGTGCTCATCGTATTTTATGCATGTCAATAGGTACTTCATATTGTCATATGATTCTTTCATGTGAACTGCATACCCTACAGGAAGAGATGGTAAAATATTTCCAATATGCAATAACACTGCCTTTAAACTCAATGTTGAACTGTCTATAAACAATCTCCATTCTTCTGGGTTATAGTTTATATTTAAAGCCGCCAGTAAGCCGTTAATGTTACTGCAGAAAACCAAGTTATTCTCCATATTGAAAAATGGTTCTAAGTCTTTGTGGCGTTTACGAAAAACACATACCGAAACATCGTCTTCTAACAAGTTTCCACTGCTGCAGTCTTGATCTGCCTTACATTTTGGAAGTTCTAAATCTCTTACAAGATCATTTAATTCTGACTGTGTTATTTTGTGCGGTTGGTGGCATGACGTGCTCGGTATAAAATCAGGATCTCTTGACGTTAATGGCATATCTTCTTCCTGACGAATCACTCGATCGCCATGATCTGATTCGTTTTCTGATTCGCAAGTGTAGGATTCTGGGGGTTTTGGAATAGGATTTTCGTCACTGTGAGGCACAGGTCTCATCGCAGATGGTATGTTTGGGTAGTTAATAACCGATTTTTTTTTCTTGGACATACCTGTGGCTTGTCCAACACAAGGTACCATGCAAAAGTAACAATCATTAATATGATTTGTAGGCTCTCGCCAAACCATTGGGACAGCAAAGCGCATAGACCGTTTTTTGCCATTTAACCAGCTCCTCAGACTTGAAGCACATGTATTACAGCAGATGTGGGGTACCCACTGTTTGTCTTGATCACCTAGTTTACAACCGAAATAAAGCTGATATGCCTTTGTTATTAGTGGAGTAATAGACCGTCTCTGAGACGGAAAAGTCACATCACCACACACGTAACAAAACTGATCTGGATTGTTTACACACTTTCGAGACATCTTGCATGAACGCTGTCAGCTAACTGAGGAAAAAATGGCTAATATAAAACAATATAATGTACACGTATGTATAACGTAACACAATCATGCCGATTACATCATCTTTCCTTGCCGAATATAAAAATGTAGCACGTGCATTCTTGTGAATTACAGTATATTAACACTGTCACAGCAGGAACACATATAATTACCGTATCTCTAAAACTTGAACTAATATTGAAAAAATAAGTTTAATTCCGGTTTTAGCACATTAAAAATAGTAATATTTTGTTGATTTTATTTAGGATATTTTTTGGCTGTTGATCAGTGTATCATTATTGGATCGCAAACGTTCTCTAATTACGCTTAAGGGGACATCGTCTTCTTCATCATCTTCATTATTGGTACAAAAGAGATTGTTCCAACATTTTTGGGTAGTTTGCTGGTTAAGTTCATTCCCGGCCATATGTAAATATAAAACAGCTTCTCGTAATGTTACTTTTTTTAAAGCCTCAGATAAGTTTTCAGGATTCTTTGATAAGTCAGACGAAAGTAGAAACTTCCTATAGTATAGTTCGGTGAGTCTTATTATATTCTGGCCCATCGGTTGAATTAACGGTGTTACGTTGGGCGGCATGTACATGACGAAAATTGACCCATCCCTGCTCCTCAGTTGTTGCTCGGGAGGATGACTTGGTGCATTATCCAATAGTAACAACGCTTTTATTGGAAGCTTCTGTTGTTTTACGAAACCTTTTACCTACAAATTGAAAACACATCTTCAAATTATGAATAGAGCATTTGTGATAATTTATTGTCATACCTGAGGGACAAAGCACCTGTGGAACCATTTCAGGAATATACTGCTAGTTATCTAAGCGGTTTTTGAACAGTCATAATCAACAGGGATATTATCATTTTTAAATGAGCGCGAATTTTTTGCTTTCCCAATTACCAGTGGCTTTATTTTGTGTGAACCATTAGCATTAGTGCAGGCTAGAAACGTTATTCGTTGTTTCTCCGGCTTTCTTCCCGGGGCAGATTTTTCAAATGATGCAGCATAGGTTTTCTCTGGTAACATTTTCCAATAAAGGCCACTTTCATCTGCGTTGTAAATTTGTTCCATTCTTAAATCTAGCTCGGTAATTGTTTTCATCAATTTTTCTTTGAATGGTTGCACTAATTGTGGTTGTGCTGATAATTTTTCACCAGATATAGACAGCAGTCGAATTCCATATCTTGTTTTGAATCGTTGTAGCCAGCCATCACTAGCTACGAAATTTTCAGTTCCTTTCAGTTTTTCATTTAACAGTCTCGCTCTATGTTTAAGTACTTTGCCACTAACTGGGACATGATTTTCCCGTTGTTTTAAAAACCACTTATACAGGCAATTTTCCATTTTAGGTGCCTTCGCATTTTTTAAACTTTTTCTTTTTCCCGGACCTCCAAATGTATTGCACGTTCTTTGTAAAATTTGAGTTTTCATACGCTTAATTTTACAGATTGTTGTTTTCGATACTCCATATTTTTTTGCTAACTGTGTCACCCCCGCACCTAGTGCAACTTCGTCTATGATTTTCACTTTCTCACTCAACTTTAAACACTTTCTTTTATAGGATGTGGATTCCATAGTCGTAAAATATGTTAACGCGTGCAATGTATTTACTTAAGTTCAAAAATGAAATACATACGTACGTATAAACGTATCCTAAACGATCATACGACTGACCGTGTTTGTCGTATTTTATCGCAGAGGTGAATCCCCTACACTCTACATCATAAATCGGGGACTCCCCGACGCCCGACATAAATCATCGAGGCTTCAGCATTTTCGCCGAGAGTTGTTTACGTTATCGAGCGTACACATTGTTTACGTTATCGCGCGTTCCGTTTGATCCCTATAGAACGAAGTTTGTATTTACATTAGCGCAAGTTTTCATTATCCCGTGTTTACGTTTTCGAGCGTCTGCTGTATATCAATTTCAAAATTTTTCCCGATTACAATATCTACTTCCTCGCCCGTTTTGGCATAGGAAGTGAAATCAAGTCAAGTCAAGTCAAGCATTAACGTTTCTAGTAATTTCAATTTATGTTCATGCCAGATCAAGTAATTTATGAAATTATCACGCTTCTTGACTTGATGAAACCCTAGTCACATCCCTAGAAACGACGTTGTATACCGTTGGTTATGGTTCACTGATCAACAGCCAAAAAATATCCTAAATAAAATCAACAAAATATTACTATTTTTAATGTGCTAAAACCGGAATAAAACTTATTTTTTCAATATCAGTTCAAGTTTTAGATACGGTAATTATATGTGTTCCTGCTGTGACAGTGTTAATATACTGTAATTCACAAGAATGCACGTGCTACATTTTTATATTCGGCAAGGAAAGATGATGTAATCGGCATGATTGTGTTACGTTATACAAACGTGTACATTATATTGTTTTATATTAGCCATTTTTTCCTCAGTTGGCTGACAGCGTTCATGCAAGATGTCTCGAAAGTGTGTAAACAATCGAGATCAGTTTTGTTACGTGTGTGGTGATGTGACTTTTGCTTCTCAGAGACGGTCTATTACTCCACTAATAACAAAGGCGTATCAGCTTTATTTCGGTTATAAACTAGGTGATCAAGACAAACAGTGGGTACCCCACATCTGCTGTAATACATGTGCTTCAAGTCTGAGGAGCTGGTTAAATGGCAAAAAACGGTCTATGCGCTTTGCTGTCCCAATGGTTTGGAGAGAGCCTACAAATCATATTAATGATTGTTACTTTTGCATGGTACCTTGTGTTGGACAAGCCACAGGTATGTCCAAGAAAAAAAATCGGTTATTAACTACCCAAACATACCATCTGCGATGAGACCTGTGCCTCACAGTGACGAAAATCCTATTCCAAAACCCAAAGAATCCTACACTTGCGAATCAGAAAACGAATCAGATCATGGCGATCGAGTGATTCGTCAGGAAGAAGATATGCCATCAACGTCAAGAGATCCTGATTTTATACCGAGCACGTCATGCCACCAACCGCACAAAATAACACAGTCAGAATTAAATGATCTTGTAAGAGATTTAGAACTTCCAAAATGTAAGGCAGAGTTACTTGGATCAAGACTGCAGCAGTGGAACTTGTTAGAAGACGATGTTTCGGTATGCGTTTTTCGTAAACGCCACAAAAACTTAGAACCATTTTTCAATATGGAGAATAACTTGGTTTTCTGCAGTAACATTAACGGCTTACTGGCGGCTTTAAATATAAACTATAACCCAGAAGAATGGAGATTGTTTATAGACAGTTCAACATTGAGTTTAAAGGCAGTGTTATTGCATATTGGAAATATTTTACCATCTCTTCCTGTAGGGTATGCAGTTCACATGAAAGAATCATATGACAATATGAAGTACCTATTGACATGCATAAAATACGATGAGCACCAGTGGCATATTTGTGGCGATTTGAAAGTTGTTGCACTTTTACTTGGGCTGCAGCTAGGCTACACAAAGTTTTGCTGTTTTTTGTGTGAATGGGACAGTCGGACAAAGGTACTTCATTACACCAGACAAAACTGGCCTGTTCGTCAATTCCTAGAGCCAGGTCAAAAAAATGTACAGCATATGCCATTAGTAGATTCGAAAAAAATTTTATTACCACCACTGCATATCAAGTTGGGCCTAATGAAAAACTTTGTCAAGACATTAGATAGAGATGGGTCAGCTTTTCAATACCTGCGTCAGAAATTTCCAAGACTAAGTGAGACAAAGGTTAAAGAAGGTATTTTTGTTGGGCCACAGATTGGAAATATTTTGAAAGATACACAGTTTGAAAACACTTTAACAGGTATTGAAAAAACTGCTTGGAATGATTTCCGTCTGGTGGTCACTAATTTCTTGGGAAATAGAAAAGCTGACAACTATAAAACCCTTGTCAAAAATATGCTGTCATCGTATCAAAAGATGGGCTGTAATATGTCTCTTAAGATACATTTCCTACACTCACACCTGGACTTTTTTCCTGACAATTGCGGAGCCGTAAGTGATGAGCACAGCGAACGTTTTCATCAGGATATTTCAACAATGGAAAAAAGGTACCAGGGAAAGTGGAATCCTTCCATGCTTGCAGACTACTGTTGGACTCTTGGTAGAGATGCTCCAGAAACGATCCATAAAAGAACAGCAAAAAGACAGCGCATATACTGATTCTTATAAATATATGAATCTTGTTACTTTTTTTAATATATCCTTAAAAATAAAAAGTTTTTTTCTAAACCGCAACTATTTTTTTTATTTCATTGTCATTTATGGATTCAGCGTCCCAAAATTAACAAAGTGCACTTTTCCCACAAGATACAATTAAAAAACTAAAATTTGTGGTCCAGTGTACAGAGACGGAAAGCAAGCAGATCCAATCCAGCCAAAACTTACATCATTGAGCAATCGATGCCTGTCATTTTCCTCTTCATCGCTGCTCTGACTGGCCATGGGGTCCGTGGTGGCTCCACTGTAACCCGTCCCCGTGATTCCATGGCCATCTTCATATTCGTATGTCCTTACAGCTAGTTCCAAGGAGGCTAGGGACCCCGACACCGTGGCCACGGCGATGCCGGACTCCTCTTCGGAGTGCCTCGTAGCGGAGCGCGTTGTGGGGTCCCCGGGGGCCCCAAAGAACAAGCGGGAGGAAGAGGGGGACGCGCGGTGAGGCCAGGACGTGTGAGAGAGCATCGACAAAAACAATGCTGATAGCTGAAAAAAAAAGATTCACTTGGTACTATTCATTCTAAAAAGTGGCGTCCAGTAGGCTGAGTAAGCGCTTCCCATGCAACGCTGTCATCAGTTCATAAAGGATTATTGTTATAAGAACAAAAGTTAACTACGATCGTATACAGGGTGTCCACAAAAGTTGGGACTTTTCTTTACATGCCGAAAAATGACCCGCCCAACTAGCAAAGTAGTGGTATAAGCTTTTGGTAAAAGAACCGTTCAGCCATAAAAGCTCTCTATTGTTGTTGCCTGGACACCAAAATGCTGGCTTAATGTTATGTGGAATGCAAATTTGCTTTCTGCAACATATTTGCTCTAAAATGAGGTGTTTAAAATATTCTTATAGCATAGTTATACAACACCTTATACCCATGCAAACGTTTATAAAACAAACCCGAGCCTTGTTGCTTTGCTGTGCAATTTACTACATTAGCCAACAAATTGTTCCCAATGGAAGCACTTATACAACTGTTACATATGCTAAATATGTTGGTAAACAACTTCACCATAACCTAACTTTATGCTGTCATATTTTTGTTAAAATGCCATAACCAATGATTTAAGACAAACAACGCATGCATATCGGTTCAAAAGGTTTTATCAACTGTTTAAACAGAAGATATAGATCTGGTACAAATTTTGGGTAAATCATTCGACTCTGTCGGTATTTCATTTCAGACATTTGTCAAATTGTTGTATAATACCTGCAGGCAACACCAAAATATTCTAATAACCTAAAGACAACATGGACGATGCCATGATTGTACACAACCACCCGCCATATTGGGCAAACATTTATTCCTCTATTTAATATTAAATAATTATGTTTCAGTTCGAAATTACAGATATAAAGTGATAAACATTAGTGTAACTGTGTCTAAATATAGGATTTGTGGAAGATTTAACGCAGATAAGTTCAGTTTTCCATCTTAAAAATCTAGACATATTTTCGATCATTGTCAAAATACATGTATGAATCAAATACGAAGCCCGTAGAAATTGGGTAACTAATTTGCACGATAATCACAATAAAATTTGCTGCGCAAGTAATTCAATAGCTCTATATCAAAGTGTAGATGTTTATCATATACCTGTGTATGAAATTCACAATGGCCAATATGTAAGTAAACAAGATGACTGTAATGTGTTAGTTATATATTCTTCACTTCGTCTATACAATACATAGGAAATACTTTGGTTGCAATAAAGTAGAATCACATAAGAGAATAGTTGTATAGTTGACAAAAACTGAATCTTGCACTGACGCAAATGTCCTATAGCGGCTGCAAGAGGCTTACACTTTTGTTTTATAACTGTTACCTGCAGACCTTATACAACCTCTTATATGACTGAAGTGTCCTATTAGGTGTGCCCATTCCGCTTGTATAGCTGTTCTAAGAGGGTTTTGCTAATGTTCTTACAGTATACAATGCTGTGTAAGGAATACTGTATAATCATTCTTGCAACTCTAATAGGAGTGATAATTGTTAGTTGGGCGTTTTTTCTAGTAACATATCCAGCAAAGTCTTAATATTACCGAGATGTTAGGTTAAGCAAGTAAAACAAAATGGCACACTCATACAACAATATCGGAGTTGTCCATATTATTTTAATTTACTGCGAGTGTCTTCGAAATGCTACCGAGGCTTCGCGAGTGCATGTAGATCGTTTTTCGAGATCCTTCGTGATTCCTTTTTTTGTTTGGGGCGAAATAAAATGTTTAGTTTATGAAACTGAAGGATGCTCTAAAACGTGAAAACACGAAGTTATAGTATTTTTTTCATTTTTTGCCCCTCGCTCCGCAGCCAATGGACTGATTTTCATAAGCTACAAAGCTTTTGCGTCCTTGGCATAGTAGTAACCTTGTGTTGAAGTTTCACCAAAATCCGCGTAGACCTTAAAATTTACATATTTAGCATGATTTTGTGTGCAATTTTGAATAAAAGCTTTTGGGGCAGGTCTACTTTCACGAAAAGTTACCTCTCACCGATGATTGACCCCCTGAGAAAAATTCCTTCGGGCGCCCATAATTAGCACCATCCAAAAAGCATAATATATCATTCTCAAGATTTTTCACGATTACAACACATTCTTCCCCGCCAGTTGGCGTGTGAAGTAAAATCCACGACGGATGTGACGGCCCCCTAGAGATTTTCCTAGTTTCAACGCTTTTTATTTGTTGTATTTATTTACCTTCCGTTACTTCTTCCCTTTCCTTTTATGGAGACTGCGGATTATCAACTTTCGTGCTGAATATTCCAAAAACGAGTCAGCGGATTTTTCCTAAATTTTGAAGTAACATTCATGATTCAATGATTGGTTTCTTATTTAAATTTATATAACATGGCAAAACATCAGGGGCGGCTGGCGCTTAAGTTCTGCAGAACTGCCAAAACTTTTGTCTTAACAGAAAAAAGCAGTAGTAATTTGATCATTATTTATTTTCCATGTTATCACACAAATAGAAACAATACCGGCAACGCTGCCCCCGCAAGACACGGCGGCGAGTCTGTTTTGTACTGAGAAAGCATTATAATCGACCAATTGTGTACTTGTCATTTTCGTCGCGACCGCAGCGTAACATTAATCATGGGCCACTTGAAAAGGGTCTGTGCACTACTTCGACACAAGACGCACGCGCTTGCTTTTGCCTCTCTCTACAAAATCAAATGCGCGATTTAAGCATAAGCATGTGCTGCAAGTTATACAGATCCGTACAGATCTAATGCGAAGTACGATATCTGATTGGTCGGTCGGTGCTCGGTCCTCGGCAGTATTGGAATATTGGTCTAGTCGCGTGACGTGGCTTAAAATTTGAATGCGAAAAATTTTTTATTTAGGTATTTTGGGTCTTACGTTAAGTGTCTAGTGACTGACTGTGGCTGTGTAGAAGGGTAGTGCAAGACAATGGATGTGGTTTACAGACTTATGAAACGATTCTGGAAATACACATTTGAAGAAAAAATATGAATCCCGAAAAATATGACGCTGCTACTCGCACAAGACATATTTTGAGCGTCGTAGATCCATTAATTGGAAATTTTCCTAACAAACTGATTTCACAAAGCTATGATGGAGCCGCGGTAATGGGCAGACATAATGCTGGAGTACAGGCAAAAATTGAATAAAGATATCCATTTGCACACTATGTGCATTGCTATGCGCATCAGTTAAACCTGATTATGTCCCAAGCTGATTCCCCAAATGCTCAAATTCGGGTGTTCCTTGGGGATTTGAAAGATATTCCGGGATTTTTAATAATTCTCATCAACGCGTAGAGGTACTGAACAGAATTGTGGGGAAAAAAATTCCCCAAGGAGCAACAACTCGTTGGAATTTTAATATTCGAACAATAAATGTAGTGTTTGAGAACAGAGAATCACACATTGAATGCATGGAAGAAATAGAAGAAAATTTCACGAATGAAACCGGTATTCGGCGTATGTTAAACAATTCTGTTTTCGTGTTTTGGTTGACATTTGTTCATCATGTCATGCCTCACGTCGACATCTTGTTCAACCAGTTGCAGAAGAGAAAAACCGAGCCAGCGCAAGTTAAAACGGCTATCGATAATTTTGAAAAATGTATTGTCAATGTGAGAAATAAAATTGATGACATAATAAATGAAGCCAAAAGTATTTGCACTGAACCCCAAGGCAACAAAAGGAGACGACGTAATAATAGCAGTCACGATCACCGAGTTGCTGCATTAGAAGTATGCGACACTATAGTGAATTCTGCAAATGATAGATTTCAATTCAAAGATCATTTGGTGGCCGCATCCCTTTTTCCCCGAACACTTTGGAGAATACTGTGGTAAGTTTCCTGATGACAAGTTGGAAACTACCTGCTTGGCTTATCCCGAATTAGAAAAAAGTCGTTTAAAGACAGAGTTGTCTGTTATTTATGCACGGAATGATTGCCGAGATTTACATGGAACTCTGTCTCTTTTGAAATTTTTGATACAAAATAGTTTGGAGAAAACACTAAAAGAAACAAAAAAGCTATTAGAAATGATTGTCCTATGTCAACATTAGAGGCTGAGCGAAATTTCTTGACATTGAAAAGAATCAAGACCTTTCTTTGAAATACTATGACTCAGGATCGCCTTACACCGTTGTCGATGCTGTCCATTGAAAAGGAATTTATTTCGACCATAGAAAATTTCAACGGGAAGGTGATCGACAAATTTGCTGCCAAGAAGGAGCGCAGGATCGAATTAACATATAAAAAAGTTCGGATTTGCAGAACACCTGTTTTATTTTGCCACGAACCGCCACTGCAAAACATCCACCACTTTGATTGCAATCAGTGACGGATCCACAGAGGGAATCCACTCAAAAGATCACTGTAAAAATCAAAATATGCAGAAAATGTCATTTTTGCTCTCAGAAAAACAAAAATCTTACGCTCGCTCTCACCTCCCCCCCTTTCACTTTGTGGGCCACTCCTCCCTGAAAAGTTCCCTCTGGATCCGCTACTGTAAATCCTTAGTAAAGAAAATGTAGCAGTACGTGAATTATTAATATGTACAAAGCTGCAACTGGGTCATTCTGCGATACATAAGTTCCATTTACTTCATAAGTAGGGCAGTGGGACACTCAATAATCATTTTTATTATTGGACTATGCCGTGACTTCATAGGTAGAGTTATAAATTTACCTGTCCTCTTCAAACCAGGGGAGAAACGATACCCAGGAAATAAAAATGTCCATAACTGGCACGCACCACCTGTTTTGTTGCTCAGACATATTTTTATAAAAAAGATCTTTTGAACGCTGAGACTAAATGAATGTTTTTACTTCACCGGTCACAACCACGCGCACAAATTTGCTTTATCACATTTTTTTGAACCTGTCATACGTCAAATAATCGTCAATTGTTTCTAGTCAGGGACCACTTGTTAAAATAATGATTATTTCTACTTTGTGTTACACATAAAATTACATGATTAAGAAAAATATTTTACTCCCACTGCCAAAATGTTTTTATTAATTTAAAGTCTTCCATCTAGAGTATATTTTAAGGTTCACCCTGTATGATTGTATTTGCTCCATTCATATATTTGAGATGAATGGCAACAGTCAAAATAGTAAATATAGAAGTAGTTGTGAGCAAATTTCGACCGTATCTAAGCAGAATACCTAGGTTGTGGAACAAGGAAGCAAGACAAGTGTTGGTAAAAACATGAAAAAGTGCTTACCAAATGAAAAAAATCGCAAGCGTGAATAAATGCAGACATAAACGGTAACTGAAACGAGTACATTAAAATAAATAGAACACGTTTGCTCTGTCCATTCAAAATCACTATTTCCAGTTCATTGTATCCCGCGATAAAATAAAAAAACGAAACGATAATAACAAAACACAAACACCACTTTCACTCTTCGTCCTCACGTCAAGTCGTCGACTGTCATTTCGGGATTTTCCCCCAAACAGGGCAACCCAAATTTCACTAGACGAAAAGGGTTTCGCAGACGCGCAGTCTGTCCTAGAATTTTCCGCTAATTCGTGATCAAACTAATTCTAAAGTACTTTTCGGTGCATATGTGGTGAAAGATGAATCATCAATAGGCTATCTTCCTTAATAAGTGAGAAAAACTGTATAAAAAGCAGGTCTTTCATTGATTTCCCTTTGCCGACCAAATAAATTTTGCATTGCGCCCGTAAAACTCCGAAGAGCGACTTGTATGGATTTCCTAGATGAGTCATCACCTGGTTTTCACACCTCAAACATAAAATCCCACGTTTGCTATAATCTTCAGTAAAAAGCTACTCAAGTAATCTCATTTTATGCTTTGCGGCATGGTTGATTATCAGATCTAATTAACCGAAAGTAATCCTATTATTTGTGATAAAAAATCCACCTAATTGGCAAAAATTTCAGTACTGTGGCGACATCTATGAGGAAAACATTTTAGTCGTCTATAATCGTTTACAGGGTGTTACAGGAGCCTACTTTGTATTATGTACTTTACAGGTATGTATGCAACCAATTATAAAGGTTTGCGAATATACTTAATTGCTACATCTATCGGCTATAATTTTAAGTCAAGATAATAATATCGTTTTCTGTAATGCGCACGACAGGCAACCAGTAACACACATGTAAAGTGCAAATCATTCAAGTTGCCACTGTTGCCAAATTCGAAATCAAGAAGTATATTAACACCTTTTTTTAGGAATTCGAAATCTAGAAAAACATATTCTGTATTACTTCCATTTTCTAAAAGTGGAACATTTGTCAGACCAAAAGTGCAAAAGTGATTTTCTTAGTCTTGAATCATTTTGCTTATGGGGCCTAAGCAAGTGCCCCAACATTTTCTGTATAATCAAATTAATAAGACATTCTTTTAAGGTTTATCAATTTTTTCTTTGCCTTTTTTCAAGAATATGTCAATAATACATAAGCACAACAAAAATAGAGTGCAAAGAAGCTAAATGGTTTGCCGCGAAAGCCTCAAGTATGTACGTAAACACAAGTTTTCTATTAATTTGATTCAAGATCCTAAAAGGTCACAAGGCAGAAAAACAATTCGAATATTTGTTTATCCCATTGAACCGGGAAATTGCGTCAAAATCGGTAACTGGAAAACCTTTCGAGCAAATTCCCAATATAATGCATTTATATTTAGAACAAAGAATCGTAGTAGTAAGATCATTGGCTTTATTTCTTCCCGTTATTTTCCAAAAATAAAAACACGTATTTGCGCCGTGTTCGATCATCACAAAAGAAAGTCATTGACCAAGTACGATGTTCATCTCATTAGACGACGTAGTAGACTACCGAAACCATTCATTCCCAAAATTTTGCTACTAAAAATAACACACAAGAGACAGATGTGTATTTTTTATTTCTTTGTATACCTCATAAAAGTGTGTCGAACGCTCAGTTGAAAAGTATCTTTTAGAGCATTCAGATTGAAACAGCTTCTGAACTTGAACTATTACACGTAAAGGTAAAGACCAGGTAGATCAAAATACCTACTAAAATCCTTGGAAGTCGGTACTCAAAAGGTGCTTCAAATCAACTTTATGGGTGGATTCCCAGAATTTTCCTCTACGCCTGACAACATGGTGCATTGTGGGAGTGAAATAAAGTGCGTGAAGTAACGTGAAGAACAAAGATGGTGACATGGACAGAATTCCAAATGATGTGGTGATTTCTAGTTTAGACTGTGACGATCTAAGCTCAAGTGTCGTGGACTATTCAATATTCTAATGTCATTTTTATTAACTCAGCTGTTAAAGGGGTGACTGACATTACATTTTTGACGTCTATATTGGTTTGGCGAAAAGTACGAAGCTGTTCAACAAAATTATAACAAATATATCAGTCTGAAAACCTGCTGAAAGAAATATTTTTTACTACAGTACAAAAACATGAGTGAACTTAGCCAGGAAGAGGTGAGATTCAACATTGTACTTGAGCACTTTTTTTGTTATGCCTACGATTTCGTTTGTAATGAACAAAGCATAATAGATTTCTGCTGATAAGATGTTCAGAATCTTTGTGGTTTGCTAGACGTGCGTTGTACGAAACGTAACGTCGTACACACCTATTTTTGTATTGGCATCTTTGTTGCTTATGCAGGGTCATATCCCACAGCTTTGTATTTTTTTGTTTAGAATTGCTTATCATTATTGCTGGCTTGCATCTATACATGTTATCTCTACCAACTTGGAATGCTTGCAAGATATTCAGCAAGAATGTGACTTACTTTAGTCCAACAAAAAGTAGTTAAAAAATCTCATTTATATTACTTGATTATATTTCTGATCCCTTGATCCACTATCAGTGGAAACCTTGAACAAAAGGAATGACTAAACATAGTATATCAGCTGTTTCTTATCTACTTAGAGGCATTTAAAGATATAATGAAGCATTTTCAAAATATAATGAAACAATATCACCTGTTTTTATCTACCTTAGTCCATAATTGAGTTGCTATTTTACTTCGCATTTGTAAATAGAAATAGATTCTAATGTATCAAATTATGCCTTATGGTTTCAGCCAAACCAAGTATATATGTATAGCTTTGTGATATCTTTAGCAAAAACAATTACCATTATTTGTGCTTAAGTTCAATAAATGAAATTGCTTTTATTGAGTCACTGATGTGATAAAAAACTAGTTATTTGCTACTTAGCTGTAACAATTGATATTCTACAAATAGAAGCTAATAAAAATATAGGAAAAAACTTTTTGTACAGCTGTTAAGTGTTTTTAACGCAAGAGACATAGATTCTATAAAGTGAACGAATAAGTTTCAACTATTACATGAAACTGTTGCATACAAAACTATAATTATAAGTTTTTAGGTCTCATAAAATTCTCACTTACAAGTAGCAGTTAGCTAGAATCGTTAGTTACAAATAATGGCAAGTGGCTACAATTGTTATAAACTTTGAAACTAGCTATAATTGTCAGATATAGACTTGTCACTTATAACTTACATTTATAGTTTATTGTAAGTTACAACTAACAATTATAGCTAATCACAACTTGCAATTGACAATTATGGCAAACCACAACAGTTAAGTGACAATTATAGCTAATTGGCATTTGTAACTGACAGTTATAGCTATGTTAATTATTAGCCAGAATTTGTAACTGTCAATTATAGCTAATTGCAACTTCTGAGTAGCAATCGAATCTAATAGAAACCTACAACTGACAATTATAGTAGTAATAAGCAATATAATAACCTTTTTATGACGAAGGATTCTACATGTATGGCCTTTATTGACTTTTTTCTTAATAAAAGATTCGAAGAAGAAGGCTAGCCCGACTTGCAGCGCGTGAGAGCTGTTCGCCATCGAGCTCTGTCTCTCCACCAGTTACACCTATCTCTCAATCTCCAATCATAAACAGGACGCAAAGTCCGCTAACCTTTGAATCTCATGGTACACCAACTGAAGAGAAAACATTTGCTGAGGGAAAACATGCTGGAGACGGTGCTGTTGAAGGTAAAGTCGCATAAAATTTTCATTATATGTGGAAAATAATCTTGTCAAGAAGATGGACTCTATACTTATCACACCTTGTTGTTGAAGTTTAAAAATAAAAAAAAATAGATCATTCATGAATAGCTGACATACAATTAGTTTCAAAATAAAATAGGAGGCCTTGATACCAACTTGACGTTTCTTGGGAGATAGTTTGTCAAAGTTATGTGTTATACCGTTCTTATCGTTACATCTACAATTTTTTTTTAATAGTCAAGTCAAAAGTTCTTATTTCCATTTTTGAGTGTTGTGAAATGGAATTTATCAATGATGAGTACACTGATATTATTTTTGTGTACGGATTCTGTAATGGAAATGCTTTAGCGGCTTCTTGGGAGTATCAACGTAGATTTCCTAACAGACGCCAATCTACCCCAAAGGTTTTTACGCGTTCATTTCTAAGACTAATATGGACTTGCCAAACTTTCCGGAGTTAGAGGCCATGGTGTCCGTCATACATTTCAAGAGGAACAGGTAGTGACTAATTTGGCGTTGGATGATCCTAGTACAAGTACTATGTGGATTGCAGCCCAGTTACCATGTTCCCAAAGTCTTGCATGGAGAATTTTAAATCGGGATGTTTTACAAAAAGTGCAATGTCTGCAATTTTTGTGATTGGTTTCTGCAAATGCATAATCAAAATGCAGATTTTATTGATTTGGTTTTGTGGTCAGATGAATCGCTTTTTACGAGGAGTGGAACCTTTAATTCTCATAATGAACATATTTGGTCGTTAGAAAATTCTCGTTCTGTAAGAATATACTCGTTTCAATATACGTATTACCATAATGTTTAAATGCAAACTCATACTTAGCTTTTCTAGAGAATTACATAGAAAATGTGTTAAATGATGTTCCGTTAGCATCGAGAGTATGAATGTGGTATCTAATTTGTGATTTTTATGTTTACGACAACATAGCACTCTAGGAAAAAACACAAGATCAATAATCTGTAGCAATTGAAGGAAAAATTACGCGTTTAGAAAAATTGCGACGTACTATTTTTATTTGGAAAAATAATGCCACTAATTCCCTGTATCTCCGCTACTAGTGCACGTTAATTTTAAGTAAAGACTTTTGGATGTGGACAACACTTAGGTAAATCCACATACCAAATTTTAGGTTATTCCAGGCGACGGTTTTGAACATATTGGAAAAAATTGTTTTTTATTTTTAAACTTCATTTCGAGGAAAAAATGTTACATAGAAGACCCCCCTTAAAATGCGGTCATGTGTATGATATTTCATTTTTGGTCACGACTTGCGAATGATACTGTATATTTATTATTATATTTTGTATTCTATTTACGATCGTCTTACTTTAGATTTGTTTGGTGTTTTGTTTTACTTCAAGTATAATAAATAGTTATTGGGATAGGATATGTTAAGATATGCCACACAGGCTATAAGATAGATACTTCAGGGATTGTTTATTGTGATTATGATTACACATTTGATATCAGATCATTGTTGCATTAAAATATTTGATAAAAAGGTCCATTGCCAAAGTAACTATTGCATTATTTTGTACGTTTCATTTTTTTCTCTGAAACCAATCTCCTTCATACTGATGCAAAATGAATGATGCATAACTTTACACTTCTTCCGCGCCGACGGAGAAGCTGCGGGTTCAGGCTAGTATTTTATATTTATTTCCAAGTATTAGTGGACAGATTGTCAGACCAATGGAAATGACTGATGTGATTTTTCGTGATATAAATTTCATGTAACATCCAGAAAACAGTATTCTATATTTGGAATTCTTCCAGTGACTTGTTCTCTTAGTGTTGTGCAAAAAGATATTGAAATTTGTTATTGGACTTCCAAGTCAGACTGATTTTATATTCCAGGCTCGAAATCGGCCCTTGTGGGTATATTCAAAGAGCCCACTGCTCCAATACCAATTGAGGTGCCATCAGGCAGTGCAAAGACCCGTCCGAGGGGGCCTCCGCAAAGAAGTGACTCAGAGACAAGCTCCATACACATGGAGGTAGATGAGACAGTATGTGGATCGGTGGACAAGCAGATGGGGAATACTGATATTGATTCTGGATTTGAGAACATGGAGGTAAGTAGATATGTAAATATTCTCTATTTTCATATCATAGCCAAACATTGATAACTGAAGCCCCGTGACCTTTAGGCAACACGTACAACTACAAAACGAGTTTACAAAAGTGTCCATCAGCTAGTGCTAAGCTAACATCTTGTCGAAAAACCTACATAATATAAAAAAAAAACAGTATAAAGTCAAACAAATATAACTTCACTTTTTAAGATACGTAATACCCGTGCCGGCCGCTTGAATACGCAGGTATCTGTTTTCATTTGCCTTTGCAAGGCAGAAATCTATTCTACTATTATTTATCATTCATAAAAATCAAGTTTTATCAAAAACACAGATGCCTACAGATTCAAGCGTCCTGATCTTAGACTATTAGGACACGCAGCATGATCTGGCGCGAAGTGCCATCTATCGCACCAGATTCGAACCATTGTGGGTCGCGCATCGCTGCTATTAGTCGGAACTGTCATGGATCTCAGTTCCCATTTAATATCCGTGCCGCTAGATCGCTGATGATTCTGGCTGAACAGGTTATACCATGCTGATGAGTAGCTAAGAAGCACGAAACAGCTGTCCATGGTTGGTTGTCTTCTTTTCTTGGTCGAACGGACGAAAGCATCTTGTTTAACCTATTATGAAATTGTTCGTATGCGGGTCTGTGAAAGCACAGCGATGCCAGATGGGTCGAACAGGATTTCCCCAGAACAAGCTGAAAAATCACTCAGAATTGCTTTTAAAAAATTCTCCAAATCACAATTAATGGAAAGGAGTTGGGTTGCTTTCTACCCGCGAAACGCGTGATTTCCCCCAGAACATTGTAAACCGAAAAAATCCCCCAAATTTGGGGAAAATTCCACATCATGGCAACCCTGTCAAAGCACCACTGGTATTCCAGGCGTCAAGTTTCGTGTAACATCGATTTATGCAAATATCGCCAATCTTAGAACTAAAATTATATTTTCCCGGAAAACCTGACTACACTACATTTACGCATTATGAAATACATGATTGTCGCCACACCAAGCTAGTAACGTGTCAATATCCTGCTGAAGTTCAATACAATCAGCCTCAGAATCAGTAACATTGAATAATTTTATATCATCTGCAATAGATTGGTTTATTACTTAAATATTACACAATATTATCAATAAATAAAGTAGACAATAAAGGACCAAGGTTTGAACTGTGAAGCACTCCTGAATTAAAAATTAAAATTAAAAGTATGCCATGATCCACCCTGTCAAATGCTTTAGCAAAATCAGTATACCATATACTACATCCACATTAAATAGCTATCTAAGTAAAAACTGTTAAATTAGATAGTGTTGATCTCTGCTGAGCTGCGGGATAAATAATTCTATTATGAAATATGATCTCTAGCAATCTGTACAAATTTGGAAATTCTGAATACTACGAAATTTTCATTCCACCTTTTCTTAGACGTTACTTGATTACATTCTTCTTTCCTTCTCCGTAAGGTGGACGACTTGGATCCTGCCGTGGCTCCTCTACCTTCCCCGCACAGCGGCCAGAAGAAAGTCACAATAGACGCCCCTCCTGCATCCCCCTCTCCCACTCCTTCACCAGAGGCTTCCCCAGTTTCCAATACGATGATGCCGAGTAATTCAAGCACCGGACTGCGCAGGCGCACCACGTCCGCCACGGAAATGTCTGAGCCGCAGTTGCGCGTTATCGCCGCCAGGTAGGGAAATATGGTAGAGTAGGGATGTTAAAAATCGATTTTTTTCCTCGTAATCGATTTTCTTAATCATAATAATGGATTTTCAATAAATCGATTATACAGGGTGACTTTGAAGTTGAGTCATTAATTTTCAGATAATGATTGTAGAAGGAAGATAAACCAAAATGTGTGTGTAAAAATAAAAAAAAAATTAAAAAAAATTGTTTACCTTGTTTTATAAAGTATCCTCCCGACAAGTATTTCAGTGCGGTCCTGTATTTGATCGTGAGGTCTTGGAGCACCGGCATGCCATTCCCTGTGAGGTCTTAAGTCACCTGATTCACGAGCCCGTTGTACTACATTAACGAAGGCACGAGGGGTTGGTTGCACTCGATTGGGAAACCGATCCGCATAAACATGTGCCATTTTTTATTTCGTTTGAGCCACGCAACAGACACCACTATTCACTCACGCGTTACCGACTGACACTGACTGTATACAACTGAATAAAATAATTGTAAAAACATCGTTCCAAATTATTTCGCTTTTTTGTTTCCGATACGATGAACCGATAAGGCGGATTATATCCGTTGTTGCCAAACACGAGCACATAATATTATTATTGAGACAGGGCGGTACTCAAACTTCCAAAGGGCTATAACTTTGTTACTTTAATTTTACCAGAAAAATGGTAAAGGAAAAAAACATTTCTTTTGATCAGATCTACTCACTGTTAAAATAAATGACTCAACTTCGAAGTCACCCTGTATAAATTGCCCATTTGTATCGATTTTTTTAATATGCTTTCATTTGCTTGACTTGATAGATATATAGATAGTTTTTTATTTATTCATAAGCCGAGGCAAAGAGAAGTATACTAGCCAGCTGAAATTAATTATAAAAGAAATATACGGTTATGAATAAAATTTTGTATAGGAGCAACAATGATATGATACCCTGCAGTACAAAATATTCTAAATTAACTGTAGAGGAAGTCTATCCTTATCCTCAAAAAAATTATTCAATGAGAGATCAAATAATTAGCGATAATCTTTTTAACTTTGATTTCTGATAAATTACGTAGATTTAAATGAAAACTATTGAAAATCTTCTTAACAGTATATGGAGCATTTTTATGTATAAAACTAAAGTTACACTTATCTGGGATAAGATCTTTTTTATGCCTAGTAATGTGATTATGTTTATTTGTAGCATGGTCAAACAGATCTCTGTTTTCAAAAACAAACATAAAAGCGTCCAATATAAAAAGAGAAACAACAGTTAGAATCTTTTTACTGATGAAGCTTTCCATTTGTTTGATTTTAAATAGGGTCCTTATGCAGTTTTTTTTTTTTTTGATGAATCAAAACCCTGTTTATATCCCGCGAGCTGCCCCAGAAGATCAGACCATATCTAATTCTTGTGTGTAATGGAATGTTACAACCTAATTTTCACCAATTTCAAGAATTTTGATGAACTTGAAAGTTTCCACAGGGGTCAAGGGGCGACGACGATACAATAATATTGGTAGTATTGGGAAAAAATCGAATTTGAAGATTTTTTAAAAATTTGAAATATGAAAAATAAGGAGGTGGAAATTTTGGAAATTCGAAATTTGAAAAAAATATTAATATCAACAAAAAATTAAATTATAGTAAAAAAGCTTGGTATGCTAGTAACTAAATTTTCATGATAACTCCAATTAATTTTGTAAAAACCACTATTTTTTTATAAAATTGCTTTTTGAAAAATCGTTTATATTGAAAAAGAAAAAAATCGATTTTCCGGTAATCGATTTTTTTACTCATTGTTAGAGCTATTGTGTCTGTTTACATTTTACTTCCTACGCCACCGGGAGAGGAATTATTGTAATCGCAAAAATATTCAAAAACCACATATTGTGCCTTTTGGATGTTATATAACCTGTACCATGTACATAATAAAAGAACATGTCCCTCACTTCCGTCGATCTTTTTGAGGTATGGCACGCTGCACCATCTTGCTGAAACACAAAATCTTGGCCGGATCTCAAACATTCTTCCATCACTGGTAAAAGCGATTCTTCTAAAATTGCCAAATATTTGTTTGTATCCACATTTTCATCAATAAAATACTGCGACTGTCACCAACACAAACTTCGATCGGGTCTCATCACTCCATTGTATTGCACACCATTGTTGAGGTGTCCATTGTCTATGTTCTTTAGCCCATCTAAGCCGATTTTTCTTTTGCAGTGGAGTTAATAGTGGCTTCTATAAACAAGTTGTGCAACTTTAGGGTTTTTACTTCACTTTTTTTTTATAAGAAAACTCACCTTGCAAGTGCTAAATCCCTGTTTGTGGACCTCGAAATTCTCCTCCCAACAGCGTCACTCCACAGACCACTTAATTGTAAATAATTGGCACTCCTGTTTTTCACGATTATTCTTCTTAATGCTCTTCGGTCGGCATTTGTGATATTACTTTTTTTCACATATCGTGGCTTAATATTAACTGAACCAGTTACGTTATATCTTCTAACAATATTTCTCACACTGTACCGCGATAAGTCTAACAAAGTTGCAATTTCTGAGTTTGATTTCCCAGAATTAAAAAATTTAATCATCAGTAACCGAATTTTCTCACTAATAACCTTTCCTCTACCCATTTTGAAAACCTTAACTACCCAAAACTATTTTAAACGTATTCTGACAGCTGTGATTTGATTAGGGAGTGATAAAGTTGGTGTTTTCTACTATATATTATCAAAATAGTCATTGTTAATATTTTAAACCTACACCCTGCTACATTTTTATTATTTGTGTTTGATAAGAAAGAAACTAAGACTTCAATAGTTGGCCCAACTGAAGTGGGAAGGGGCTCGTAGATCAAATGTGTATTCCTCAGTGAAGCAGAAAATTCAACCCGCCTATCGAAATCATCTTCGGTTAACTCTTGCAATATTTTCATTTTGAATGGATGAAAAAACTAAGATTTCAATAGTTAGGCCAACTGAAGTGGGAAGGGGCTCGTAGCCGGATTTCACACATCATAGATTTCCCCTCAAGCAAATAACACCAGGACGTACAAAAACTGTCCTTGATTATGTAAAAAAAAAAATTACATGACCAGCCGTAAGAGCTTCCATACCCGGACAATAGTAAAGATACTAGAGCCTAAGAAATTTGATTCAGATGCTACTGCATATTCAAAGTCCATAAGTTAAATTTCTGCCAAATCAGCAACTTTTTCATTCATTTTTCTAGCCGGCAAATAATGAAGATAATACCAGAGCGTAGGAAAGTTGACCCAGATACTATATCTTTACAACACGCATATACAACATCCATTTGTCCATAAATTACATGGAATTACTACAAGGATAAAACAAATCCCTAAGTACCTACTGGTATACCCCTTGTATATTTGCTCACTTTATTTTATAAATATTATATTATTGAAATAAGTGCCATCTATTACCAGAATCCACCACAGCAAAACAGGTAATGGATGTCACTTTGTGCTGTCTTATTTCGATAGATCTATTTTCTGGATAGAGTGTAGTTGCTCAGCTTTCGTTCATTGTCCTACCCGAGATCAAACTTTGGCCATACTGATGAGCTTCCAACTAGCACGAAACAGCTGTCCATTGTTCGCCGTCTGTGGTCGGGCGAACGAAAGCAATATTACTAATTTATTATTATATTTTTATCAGGGTGCTGCGCATCGATCTTGAAAGGCCTGCTGAGAATAGAGTGTTTGCTAAAGAGACAGCCGCCAAATTGGATCAAAGGCCGGATATGGCCTTGAAGGAGATCATCACAGAGGGGATGTTGGAAGTCTTGGGGATGTTTGCGAAGGGAAAGGCCCCTTTCATCAAAGAGGTGAGTTTTAGAACTATTCGTTATTTTTGAATTGGGTGGCGGGGACGCGTCAAACCGATCGCAGCGGGCGCGAACATCAATCGATAGATTGATAAATAAATTAAGTACAGGGGAAGAATGATGAATGTCACAAATTTGGTATTTTGTAGTTAGAACCGGCAACTGATTGCGAAACTTTGTTAACATTAATAAATCTTAATGTACCCCGTAGAACATTGCGTGATCGTAATCTGCTTGCGATTAAATTCCATCCCACAAATTATGGCCAGCACTCTCCACACGATTGAGCACTTCGTGTTATCAATTAAGCTCAGTCTAATATTGACATTTTCACCTGTACACTCTCAATCTTTACAAATTGTCTTTTAAATTGTGATTTTTAAAATAATGTCTTGTGAGCTTGCATGTTGTAAATGTTACTCCCATTTTGTAATTTTATTTTGTAAAAATGGGGTCACCCATAAATTTGGTAAATAAATAAACATGTAGTCTTAACGCAGTATAATCCCATGAGGTATCGGAAACACGCAAAAACAATGACAATTCGTAGTATACCCAATTGAAAACCTGCGTGCAGGGAAAAAAGATGAACGTCATAGCCGTTGTATGAAAAAAAGATGAACATCCACTGATCGTCACCGAAACTAGTAGCTACTAGAACAATTTACCATACACCAATCTGCGACGAAAGAAATGAACGTTAGTAATCATTTCTAAGCAGTTACTTTTGTTTTGTTTGTTCTATATTCTTTTGAATAAAGATTTTTTTGGTTTATTGTTTTTTCCTGTCCCAATATTGAGGTTAGAAAATCAGCATTTTGTATTTTGGAAGCAAATTAACTTTTATAAATAAAAGAGCTTTTAGCAAGTACCAAATGAATCTTTAGCGTAGAAAAAAACTAAACAAAATATGGCTCTGTCTATCTGGCATTGACGAATCCGTCAGAATTATGTGTCCTTTGCTGACATGGGGAATTTTGAAATATTACTAGATTACCTGATGTCATTCTACAGTAATGGATACTCGTGAAAAAGACTATAATAAATTTCCTGTTAAGGTAGTTCTCATATTAGAAAAGATCGCAAAACCGATAGGCATTTTGCTGGTTAATCAACCCCCAGATTTTACAGGGTGTCGCATATGACGAAAGGCTCATTTCTAACGTTAATATCTCACAAAAAGTTAAATTCAGGCATGGATGCTAACACATAAAAAATGTTTCAAATCATGAGGAGAATCTCAAAATACAAAAATGAAAAGGATTTTCCATTAAAAATTTCTTTTTATAATTACAGCAGACGCTCGATAACGTAAACACGGGATAATGAAAACTTGCGCTAATGTAAACACAAACTTCGTTCTATAGGATCAAACGGAACGCGCGATAACGTAAACAATGTGTACGCTCGATAACGTAAACAACTCACAGCGCGACGGTAAAATGCTGAAGCCTCGATGATTTATGTCGGGCGTCGGGGAGTCCCCGATTTATGATGTAGAGTGTAGGGGATTCTCCTCTGCGATAAAATACGACAAACTCGGTCAGTCGTATGATCGTTTAGGATACGTTTATACGTACGTATGTATTTCATTTTTGAACTTAGTGAATACATTGCACGCGTTAATATATTTTACGACTATGGCATCCACATCCTATAAAAGAAAGTGTTTAAAGTTGAGTGAGAAAGTGAAAATCATAGACGAAGTTGCACTAGGTGCGGGGGTGACACAGTTAGCAAAAAAATATGGAGTATCGAAAACAACAATCTGTAAAATTAAGCGTATGAAAACTCAAATTTTACAAAGAACGTGCAATACATTTGGAGGTCCGGGAAAAAGAAAAAGTTTAAAAAATGCGAAGGCACCTAAAATGGAAAATTGCCTGTATAAGTGGTTTTTAAAACAACGGGAAAATCATGTCCCAGTTAGTGGCAAAGTACTTAAACATAGAGCGAGACTGTTAAATGAAAAACTGAAAGGAACTGAAAATTTCGTAGCTAGTGATGGCTGGCTACAACGATTCAAAACAAGATATGGAATTCGACTGCTGTCTATATCTGGTGAAAAATTATCAGCACAACCACAATTAGTGCAACCATTCGAAGAAAAATTGATGAAAACAATTACCGAGCTAGATTTAAGAATGGAACAAATTTACAACGCAGATGAAAGTGGCCTTTATTGGAAAATGTTACCAGAGAAAACCTATGCTGCATCATTTGAAAAATCTGCCCCGGGAAGAAAGCCGGAGAAACAACGAATAACGTTTCTAGCCTGCACTAATGCTAATGGTTCACACAAAATAAAGCCACTGGTAATTGGGAAAGCAAAAAATTCGCGCTCATTTAAAAATGATAATATCCCTGTTGATTATGACTGTTCAAAAACCGCTTGGATGACTAGCAGTATATTCCTGAAATGGTTCCACAGGTGCTTTGTCCCTCAGGTATGACAATCAATTATCACAAATGCTCAATTCATAATTTGAAGATGTGTTTTCAGTTTATCGGTAAAAGGTTTCCTAAAACAACAGAAGCTTCCAATAAAAGCGTTGTTACTATTGGATAATGCACCAAGTCATCCTCCCGAGCAACAACTGAGGAGCAGGGATGGGTCAATTTTCGTCATGTACATGCCGCCCAACGTAACACCGTTAATTCAACCGATGGACCAGAATATAATAAGACTCACCAAACTATACTATAGGAAGTTTCTACTTTCGTCTGTCTTATCAAAAAATCCTGAAAACTTATCTGAGGCTTTAAAAAAAGTAACATTACGAGAATCTGTTTTAGATTTACATATGGCCTGGAATGAACTTAACCAGCAAACTATTCAAAAATGTTGGAACAATCTCTTTTGTACCAATAATGAAGATGATGAAGAAGACGATGTCCCCTTAAGCGTAATTAGAGAACGTTTGCGATCCAATAATGATAATGTTATTAGTGTGTCATTGGATGTTGTTGATTTATTGAAAACAGTGAATCCCAACATTGTTTGTACTCCTGCTGATATTAATTTATGGAACGAAGATAAGCAGACGAATGATGCTGATAAGGAGGAGGATATGGACAGTGAGGATGATGAGAACGATCCCATTGAAGTCAGAAGTGTAGTGACTGACGCGCAAGCTATACAAAAAAAGAAGTTTCATACACGGATATTTTAGTTATTCGTAAATTACGGGCGCAGGCATTGGAAGACAATGCTAAGCGGAAATTTACGCAGACAAAAAATGTTAATTAATTTTCTTCTAATTAAAAAAATACTTATCGCTGTTAGAATATTTGTTTATTTTGTTATAAATAGTATGTATTAAACGTGTCTTTTAATAAATCAAATATTATATAAATCACGTTCGCTAATGTAAACATTTCGATAATGTAAACCACACTTGGATTAAATTAGTTTACATTATCGAGCGTCTGCTGTAACTTCTTTTCAATTATAATAAGGAATCGATGGTACTCCGTCAGATCTTTGACCCACCCTGTACAACGAGTCTAGGAGTTTTCAAGCTTTTAAATCCGCTTTTCTCGAAACTTTACTTTTTGTGACATTCATCTTTTTCCTCTGTGCCCTTCAGATGATCTTTATTGCCTGAAGAATTCAATCATTGTTAATGACAAAAACTATAACATAATTACATGTGTGGATCTCTAGTAGGTGAATTGTAGATCTCACTCGGCGTATAATATGGTTTATATACTAAAAAGTTTTTAACTTCATTATTGGAAGTTTTTAATTTTTTTCAGGGAGACGTAAATTTTCAAACCATTATAAATTATTGATTCTTCCGGAAGTGTTGATTTAGGTACGACTAATTTAAAATCTTGTTTTCGTCTAATATTGTAACTTATATTTGATGTTCTCGAGTAAAAACGGTATACAGATTTCGTCATACAATATCATTATTTGATCCAGGTGCCAGCGTTCGAAGACCCTCTTCGCGACCAGAACCCCAGCTCATTCTCATTTCCGTTGGCAAATGCGAGCACATTTTCTTCGGGTCCACCTACCACCTCACAAGGTAGCATTTCGCCTTCGTGCTCAACAATAGACGAAAGTAAAGACGAGATGGCGTTCGCGGCACTTCGGTACTTGATGGAAGTATACAACGCAGTCGGTACCGAAGAGAGGAATCATCCTAGGAAGTCTAGCGTACCGCCATTGAAAGATCTGCTGGCGGAGATTAGGGCGCAGACGATTGAATATACTACATTAGTTGTTAGGGGTGAGTGAAATTATAGTGAAAGTATTACTAAATAGCCTCGCGTTAAGTACACTGTAAAGTATACAGGGTGTCACAGAAGTCGACGTCAAACCGGAAACGGGGGATAGGCCAGGTCATAATAGTTATCAAAAAAATATAACAAAAAATCTAAGTCGTGTACTTTTCAAATTATAGACTTTAAAAAAATCGGAAAAATCCGCACCTTGTGATGATCTTTTAGTTCCCATTACTGCAAATTTTAACTTTTTCTTAACGGAGTGACGGACAGTGTCATTCGCATATTTTTAGCTACACTACAGGTAACACTCTCTCCTATGATTCATGGTACCACTGTTAACAGCGCCATCTGACGATTGACAAAGAAACTAAAACGACGATTGTTTACAGGATTCTGATCAGTGACGCTTGCCCCCTATTTTATCCTCGAGTTGCATTATTTTCATAAAGCGTTCGTTACATTAAGTAGGACTCCGATAATGATCGGAAATCTGACAATAATACATAAAAATATATCCTGAATTTCTAGCTTATGTAGCCGTGCCATATTAAACATATTGCCGTATGTTACTGACCCCATTCGTAGTCCATTTACGCCCAGACAAAACACAACATGCGAGATTGTACAGGTTTTTTATAGAAAGAAGTGCATACTTTTCACAATGGACAAGTTTATCATTTTTATGTTATTAGCTAAAATGAAAGTTTAGAGAAAATGAAACAAGATGGTGCAAAAATTATTAATTTATCTCTAAAAACAAAAAAGTTACAGCCTATCAAAGTTGCGACCCGCGAGAATATTTTTATTCAGTCTGTACGTTACGCGTGACGTCACACGTCAGTATCCAGTTGCAACGCCCGCGGCCGATTACTGGACCCGAGCTGACTCAATCTCCTAAACACATTCATAAACACAGCGGGACTCATGATAGGCTAAACGTCTTCCGCCCCAATTTGTTTAATTACACTGGACAACAAATTTTAGTTTTTTAATTGTATCTTGTGGGAAAAGTGCATTTCTTTGTTAATTTTGGGGCGCTGAATCCAAAAATGACAATGAAATAAAAAAAAATAGTTGCGGTTTAGAAAAAAACTTTTTATTTTTAAGGATATATTAAAAAAAGTAACAAGATTCATATACTTATAAGAATCACTATATGCGCTGTCTTTTTGCTGTTCTTTTATGGATCGTTTCTGGAGCATCTCTACCAAGAGTCCAACAGTAGTCTGCAAGCATGGAAGGATTCCACTTTCCCTGGTACCTTTTTTCCATTGTTGAAATATCCTGATGAAAACGTTCGCCGTGCTCATCACTTACGGCTCCGCAATTGTCAGGAAAAAAGTCCAGGTGTGAGTGTAGGAAATGTATCTTAAGAGACATATTACGGCCCATCTTTTGATACGATGACAGCATATTTTTGACAAGGGTTTTATAGTTGTCAGCTTTTCTATTTCCCAAGAAATTAGTGACCACCAGACAGAAATCATTCCAAGCAGTTTTTTCAATACCTGTTAAAGTGTTTTCAAACTGTGTATCTTTCAAAATATTTCGAATCTGTGGCCCAACAAAAATACCTTCTTTAACCTTTGCCTCACTTAGTCTTGGAAATTTCTGACGCAGATATTGAAAAGCTGACCCATCTCTATCTAATGCCTTGACAAAGTTTTTCATTAGGCCCAACTTGATATGCAGTGGTGGTAATAAATTTTTTTTCGAATATACTAATGGCATATTGTACATTGTACATTTTTTTGACCTGGCTCTAGGAATTGACGAACAGGCCAGTTTTGTCTGGTGTAATGAAGTGCCTTTGCCCGACTGTCCCATTCACACAAAAAATAGCAAAACTTTGTGTAGCCTAGCTGCAGCCCAAGTAAAACTGCAACAACTTTCAAATCGCCTCAAATATGCCATTGGTGCTCATCGTATTTTATGCATGTCAATAGGTACTTCATATTGTCATATGATTCTTTCATGTGAACTGCATACCCTACAGGAAGAGATGGTAAAATATTTCCAGTATGCCATAACACTGCCTTTAAACTCAATGTTGAACTGTCTATAAACAATCTCCATTCTGCTGGGTTATAGTTTATATTTAAAGCCGCCAGTAAGCCGTTAATGTTACTGGAGAAAACCAAGTTATTCTCCATATTGAAAAATGGTTCTAAGTCTTTGTGGCGTTTACGAAAAACACATACTGAAACATCGTCTTCTAACAAGTTCCACTGCTGCAGTCTTGATCCAAGTAACTCTGCCTTACATTTTGGAAGTTCTAAATCTCTTACAAGATCATTTAATTCTGACTGTGTTATTTTGTACGGTTGGTGGCATGACGTGCTCGGTATAAAATCAGGATCTCTTGACGTTGATGGCATATCTTCTTCCTGACGAATAACTCGATCGCCATGATCTGATTCGTTTTCTGATTCGCAAGTGTAGGATTCTGGGGGTTTTGGAATAGGATTTTCGTCACTGTGAGGCACAGGTCTCATCGCAGATGGTATGTTTGGGTAGTTAATAACCGATTTTTTTTTCTTGGACATACCTGTGGCTTGTCCAACACAAGGTACCATGCAAAAGTAACAATCATTAATATGATTTGTAGGCTCTCTCCAAACCATTGGGACAGCAAAGCGCATAGACCGTTTTTTGCCATTTAACCAGCTCTTCAGACTTGAAGCACATGTATTACAGCAGATGTGGGGTGCCCACTGTTTGTCTTGATCACCTAGTTTTCAACCGAAATAAAGCTGATATGCCTTTGTTATTAGTGGAGTAATAGACCGTCTCTGACACGCAAAAGTCACATCACCACACACGTAACAAAACTGATCTGGATTGTTTACACACTTTCGAGACATCTTGCATGAACGCTGTCAGCCAACTGAGGAAAAAATGGCTAATATATAACAATATAATGTACACGTATGTATAACGTAACACAATCATGCCGATTACATCATCTTTCCTTGCCGAATATAAAAATGTAGCACGTGCATTCTTGTGAATTACAGTATATTAACACTGTCACAGCAGGAACACATATAATTACCGTATCTCTAAAACTTGAACTAATATTGAAAAAATAAGTTTCATTCCGGTTTTAGCACATTAAAAATAGTAATATTTTGTTGATTTTATTTAGGATATTTTTTGGCTGTTGATCAGTGTTAGTTGACTGTATACGATCGGTTATGTGCGAAATAAGGAAAAAAGGTTGTTATAAATACTGTAGCGTTCCAAAATGTACAAGCACAACAATTACAACCCCTAATAAACATTTTTTCTACGTGCGGCGTCCATAATGGTATGAACTTACGCAGTACTCAATAGTTATCAACTGGAAACCACGTGTCCGAGGGCACAGGTGTGTCTTATGAATTGTCTATTTTGTTGTTGTTACATTCTTGTCTATTAAAATTAAAATTACGTCACTATGTATTTTGATTATTCATAAAGTGTTTTTTCAATTTCACCTTAAACATTTTTAAATTCGGACTCGTTTAATATCATTTATTAAATTCAAATACTCCCTTTTGAAATATAGATTTACTATTACAATTTTGCAGATGAAAATCTATACTGCCTCTAGTTTCGTAGTTATGATAATGACTGTTTAATTTTGTGAAGTTCTCTAAATGTGGTGGTAATAAATGATTTTTTAATTTGAATATGAAAACGGGAACTAAATAATATACGAAATTTTTCACTTTCAACCACTGCAGTTCTTCTAACATAGACTTAATCCTAGCATATTTGTTTTTATTTAAAATGATTCTCATAGCTAAATTTTGTAGAATTTGTAATTTTGAAAATATTTTTTCATTTTCTGTAAACAAGATGGTTGAACAGTAGAAAAAACGGGGAAGAACAGCTTCTCGACATCGGGCAAGACATTAATCGGTCGCATGTTTGTATACATCTGAGAATTGTGAACTTTTGGCACTAGAGTACTGGTGGAACACTTTAATTTTGATGGGAATTCACCATGTACTAAACAATGATTCAACAATAATAATAATTTTTCTCTAATTATATTGAAACAATCATTTAGAATATTATTTGAGAGATTCTCACTTGGATTTTTATTAGATTTCAATTTTGAGATAGCCTTTCTTAAATTGTTGATGTTAATTGTCCTAAATTGCTTCATTGATGAATTCTGACATACTTGTAATGGACATAAGTTTGGATCACCGTCATCAATCGTCTTCGCTATTTGATTTACACTTTCTTTAAAATAAGTGTTTATTTTTTCTGCTATAATTAATTTGTCTGTCACTAAACCATCTTCGAAACACATTTTAGATAATTCAGTGTTTCCATTAGGAGAAATAATATTCTTTAATGTTTTCCACATCATTTCAGAATTATTTGTATTGGTATCGATCTTCTTATCATAGTATTTTTTCTTTTCCCTCCTGAGAACTGCTACACACTCATTTCTTGATTTCGTATATTGTTTCCAATCATTTTCACTTTGAGTTACTGAAAATTTTCTGTAGTCGTTATCGCGTTTTAATTTAGACTCCTTGAATATCTGTGAAAACCAGGGCGTTGGGTTCACTCTTTCATATATTATTTTCTTGGCCATAGCTTCACTAATATGTTTATCCATATTATTCATACTTTGTTCGAAGTAGTTGTCGGCATTATCGATAATTTCAAGTATATGGTGTTGTAAGTGTTTCTCGTGATTTTGTGAATTCAATGACTGTAATTTCTTTCATTTTATTTTCATTGAACATATTTCCCACTTCGAATTATATCCATGAGTGATCACTTATCTTTGGGGTATTCTTAACTTCAGCAATTAGATTTTGTTGATTAGTTATGAGCAAATCTATTAATATCAAATATTTTCCATCAAGAAACAATTTCACTATCTACGCGGAAACTTCTGGAAAGCTATTCAAAAAAATCTTCGAAGACAATGATAGAAGAATACTTCTGGGATGGCAATGTTTGACAGTATATCAAAATAACGACATTTCTCAGTGTAGAAAATGCTACCGTTTTAATCATACAGAAAAGAATTGCAGGAATGAGAAGATATGTGCCAACTGTGGCAACGGTCACGAAGAAGAAAATTGTAAGCATGTATCAATAGAATGCTGCAACTGTAGATATGGAAATGAAATATATAAAAAAAATTATAATATTAACCACTCACCTATCGACAAAAACTGTCCATCGTACAAATATTATCAGGAACAACAAAACTTAAGGATACTTTTTTAAAATTCAAGTTCATCTTTTACTACTCCTATCTCTAAAGAGGACCTAAAAATGTCAGTAAATAAATACATTAATGATTTCCAAATTCCAAGTATTGCAACAAATATAGCACAAAACGTCGATGAACTTAATTTATGTACACAAAATTCTGATGCAAAATTTCGAATTTTTAATATGAACATAAGGAGTATAAAACACAACGTTGATTACTTAAAAATACTACTCGACCAAATATGGTACAATTTTGATCTAATAGTTTTAACTGAAACGTGGAAAGTGGCTGATATTTCTTGCTTCAATCAGCAGGGATATGACACGCTGTATAACTTTGGCACTTATAACCAAAACGATGGGGTGATAGTTTTTGTAAGAAATAAACTGCAATATAATCATGATACATTCACTTTCACCGATGGAATCAAAATTTTAAACATAATGATCCAAATTAACCATAACAAAATTGATGTATCTGCAATTTATCGTCCGCCATGTTCAGAACCCCACGAGTTTTTAAAGAATATCGAATTTTTTTTTCAAAATCAAAATAAAGTTCATTTAAAGCAACATATTTTCTTGGGAGATGTCAATATAAATATTTTGGACGATGATCCCATCACAAATGAATACTTGAATATCCTATCAAGTAACGGATTTCTGTCCTATATAAACCTACCTACAAGGTCCATCAGTGGCACATGTATAGATCACTGCTTTGTGAAAGACCTATCGAACAAAATTACTTGTATACCAATAATCCTAGAAAGCGATATTACTGACCACTTCTCCACTATTTTACTGATATCTTCAAATGAAAAACATTCTAACATTCCTACCGTTAGTAACAACCAGGAAAATTACAAATTTTTTGTCGACAATTCAAAACTAATATCAAATGTCAAACAAGAATCCTGGGAACAATTATACTCTATAATAATAGTATAGAAAAGCAACGGGACTGTTCATAGAGAAAATAAAAAAACTAATAGATATTAGTACCAATAAAGTAATAATTAGTCACAAAGAGAAAAGCAGAAATGCCTGGATTACCAAAGGATTAATAACATCGGCAATAGAAAAAGAAAGACTATATAATGTAATGAAACTAACGCCAACTACAGAGAATACCGACTGCTACAACCAATATAAAAATAAATTTATAGAGCTTGTAAGGCAAACCAAACGAAAACATTACCTAAATAAATTGAATAATAACTTAAATGATCCTAAGCGGCTTTGGACAACTATTGATGAGATTACTGGGAAAACAAAAGTTAAAGAGTGTGTCACTGAGTTAAATACAACATCGGGAACAGTATTAAAAAATACTCAACAGATATGCGATGAATTTGAATTTCTTTACTGACATAGGCGAAAATTTAGCAAGTAATATACAAGCAAATGTACAAAATACTCAGCCTCCAAAAAGAACTTTGAACTCATTTATTTTGGATAAAGTCGAGCAATGTGAAGTATACACCACTGTTATGTCCTTAAAAAATCGGAAAAGTCCTGGGTTCGATGGTATTAAAAGCGAGCATTTGAAAAGACAGAACCACTCACTTACCTAATCAACAAATGCTTTGAATCTGGCATATATCCCTCAATTTTAAAAAAAGGTAATATAATACCGATACATAAATCAGGAACAAAAACAGATGTTAACAACTATATACCAATATCAATAATATCCAGTGTAGCAAAGGTTTTTGAAAAAGTTTTATCTACTAGAATGATTCGATACCTCACAAAATTCACAATTTTAAGAGAAAATCAATATGGATTTACAGAAGGGAAGGCTACATCGGACGCAATAACTAAAATTGTAAATCAAATACATCAAAATATTGATAACAGAATCCCTTCAATCTGCATTTTTGTTGATTTAAAGAAAGCTTTCGACACAGTTACTCACAAATTATTATTAGAAGCATTGGAGAGAATTGGTTTCAGAGGAAACGCGTACTCACTGATCGAAAGTTATTTGTCAAATCGCCCACAATCTGTGCTGATATCAGGATCATTTAGTAAAGAAATGTATATTAAGTGTGGTGTCCCACAAGGAACTGTCTTAGGTCCGCTGTTATTCAATATATATTTAAATGATATTTTCCAAATTAATTGTGTTGGCAAAATAACTAGTTTTGCAGATGATACTGCAATATTATATGAAGGCACTGACTGGTCTGATCTGAAAAATGTAATTGAAAATGATTTTATCAAAATTATTCGGTGGTTTAACAGTAGAAAATTAAGCATTAACTACTCTAAAACACATTTTTTACCATTTGGATCTTATGCTAGACATCTGCCAAATTACACAAATTTCTCCTTCAATATTAATGATCAAAAAATGCAAATTAATAGAGTGCCCAACATAAAATACCTTGGAGTGGTCTTGGATCCTCACTTACGATGGGACATCCATGTCAATTATATTTTAAAGAAAGTTAGATTTGTATCCTACAAAATTAAATACCTTGGGAATATATTGATAGAAAAATATCTTCGAACATTATACCATGCACTGATTGAGCCTCATCTCACATATGGTATATTAGCATGGGGAGCTGCATGTTCCTCACATATCTATAATTTAGATGTTTTTCAAAAAAGTATTCTAAAAATGATATTTGAAAAACCGAAACTTTATCCCACTGAAAAATTATACGCAGATGTTCGAATGTATGATATAAGACAGCTTTATTTCTTACACAGTATCACTCACTACCATAAATTTGTAAACACCCACCAAAAAATTAAACATAATCATTATACCAGGTACAAAATTCGTGGCACAGTAGTTCCTCAACCGCATAAATCTATAATGCAGCAATCATATCTCTATTTAGCGCCTAAATTTTATGAAATTATACCTAAAGACTTAAAAGATTTACGTTTCGGAAATTGTTTCAAAGGTAATTTAAAAAAGTGGCTACATTCTATATCTAGGACTGAAATTCATAAACTCATAAATACGAACATCAACTAAATACATAATCTACTGTAGCTAATTTTTGTCCTTTTTTGTCATTTGCATTCTACAGTTTCAACTTAAATTTATTGGTCCATGTACAGGCGATGCCTTCTATTGGGCCTGTTTTGATTTTATATTTATTTACTCATATTGTTTGTTATCTTTGTACATTGAGTGAATAAATATTATTATTATTATTATTATTATTATTATTATTGTTGTTTTAGAAAAGTTCGTAATCCGTGTATAGTCATTTATTTTCTGCCATAATCCATGGAGGTTTAGTACTTGTTCAAATTTTGTAACATAGAAATCTTTACTGTCAAAATTTATATTAAAGTTTCCTAAATGTACATTTGTGCAATTCCTGTAATAATGTTTTTCACATCTACTTTCAAAAAAATCAATAAATCGATTGACGCTTCCACTTGGAGATCGGTAATAAATATACAGATTGTAATTTTTTTGTATCCTCATTTTCAGATTGATGTACCGCCACTGATATTCAACAACTACAATGTTCTGTACTTTGACTTCAATGCTATACGTATATAGTGTATATATCAATATACCACCTGTATGCTTCGAAACAGAGCTTACTCTTACAACTTGATAGCCGTGAATATCGATCTCTCCCTCCTCAATATCTTCTGTTACATGTGTTTCTGTTAAACTAATATAGACTAATGACTAAACGCACAGACGCTGTCGAACACCTACGCGACGAGACGCTGGGCACTAGAGAAGTCAGACGCGAACGGACGGCAGGCAATAATTTCGCGCTATTATGCGCCAAATTTATTGGCCGATTTCAATAATTTTTTCGCTGGATGATTATATTTAGTCTATATTTTGCTGGTATGTCATTACTTATGCGATTCTGAATATCACGAAACTTCTCCATTCCATTGATCATATTGTCCGGATCCCACATCTTTGTTTCTTGAACGTGGAGGATCCAATCTTTCCAATGTTTTGCCGTCACTCTGTTAACAGCTTCATAAAACAAATTTTTCACGTCAGAAAACCAGAATGTTCCATTGTTTGAAGCCACATGTTTTTTATTTGCCCAAAAAATTTCTATTGGATTTTATTCGCAGTGATAAGAGGGTGGCCTTAAACCGGTCTTGTTTTGGTTTTTAGCCATATCGTCAATAACACAACCAATAGCTATTGCAACGCTTAGGCGGTTGCCGCTTTGCCGCGCTGCTTCTTTGTTGTTCCGGGGCGTTAATGGACTACGAATAGGGTATATATGATGCAGAAAAACTATTGCCCGTCGAGAAACGCCATTATAATTGTGCAACGATCCATCGACAACTAATTATCTAACATGATATTTTTCTCTAGGCTACATAATTCCATTAGCAGCAAAACGCCAACCACTGCTCTTACCTGCCATCTTGCGTCAGTCTATGCCACGTGGTTTTCTCACGGAACTAGTCGCCAGGACTCAGCATGACAACGAAGCGTTTTCGGAGGTGTTCTCGCCGGTGTTGCAGGGCTTGTACACGATGATGTTGACGGCGAGTGTCATCGAGGACGAACATAGAGCCCCCTTGCAGGCGCTCTTCGAACTAACGGATATCCGGGTGGGGAACAGGCCGCTGTGCAAGCTGATCACTGAACAGGTTTGTTTGAGATGGATTTTATTATTGATGTGCAATGGAAGGTGGCCGAAACGTTTGTACCCAACTAGCAAAGTAGTGCTATAAGCTTTTGGTAAAAGAACCGTTCAGCCATAAAAGCTCTCTATTGTTGCTGCCTGAACACCAAAATGCTGGCTTAATGTTTTGTGGAATGCAAATTTGCTTTCTGCAAAATATTTGCTCTAAAATGAGGTGTTTAAAATATTCTTATAGCATAGTTATACAACACCTTATAGGGCAAATTTTTAGCTGTTGCATAAACGTTTATACAACTATTTTATACGGCATATTTGCAAGTTAGTCAAAATGGTTATGTTGTGACATTCATGGTAACGTTTATAAAACAAGCCCGAGCCTTGTTGTTTTGCTGTGCAATTTACTACTTTAGCCAACAAATTGCTCCCAACGGAACCACTTATACAGCTGTTGTTTAGTAACTGTTAAAGGCTGTACATATGCTAAATATGTTGGTAAACAACTTCACCATAACCTAGCTTTCTGCTGTCATATTTTTGTTAAAATGCCATAACCAATGTTTTAAGACAGACAACGCATGCATATCGGTTCAAAAGGTTTTATCAACTGTTCAAACAGAAGATATAGATCTGGTACAAATTCTGGGTAAATCATTCGACTCTGTCGGTATTTCATTTTATACGTTTGTCAAATTGTTGTATAACACCTGCAGGCAACACCAAAATATTCTAATAACCTAAAGACAAAAGGTTTCAATAAAAATCAAGGTGGAACTCTTCCATCATTCGATCGGATACAATAATTTGTTATACAAATTTCACAATAATACGAGTACACTGCTCCAGTGTTTTATTATGATAAGTTTGTGAATTTTTTTGGTAAATAAAAATACCACTATGCACCCAAAAAAGTATCCGAGATAAAATGAGATTTTCAAAAAATTCACTTATTGTAAAAAAGCCTGATATCTAATGTTAGAATTATATTTTTAGTTGCTACTTACAAAACTGGAATTTATATGAAAACAAAGTACTTACAATTTTCTCCAATATTTCCAAATTGTTTTCCAATTTTTTTTTTGATAATTTGCCATAATTTTTCAAAATTTCTAAATATTTAAATTATTTTCCAATATTTTCAATTATTTTCCAATTTTTTTCAATTTAAAAATTCATTTTTTTTCAATATTCCTATTTTTTCCAATTTTTAAATCCAAATTTTTTTCCTTTCGTAATTTCCAAAATTTCATCAAATTCTTCAAATATTATTCAAAAGTTCCAAATCTAACTCCAAATTTTCCAATTTTTTTCCAAATTTGGAAATTCGATTTTTGTTTCAAAATTAAAAAAATACAAAATGGAATTTTTTCCAAGATTATTGTATTGTCATCGGCCCTTGACCCCTGTGCGAATTTTGAAGTTGATTAGACTTCTTGAAATTGGTGAAAATTAATTTGAAAGATTCGTTTACATATTTACATACAGGTCAAACTAATAAAAGCGTGTTCTATGAGAATTTGTCACAGCTAAGTTTCTTCTCTCTGCACTAATCAGAAATCTACTTTGAAAAGAGTAGTTTTGTTTGTTGAACCTATATTTCGCATTAATACTATAATGACAATTCATCGTCCTTTCACACATTTTTTGATTCCATTTTCTTTTACATTCTTGTCTATCAAAATTACATTGCTATGCATTTTGGGTATTCATTTAAAGGGATTTTTTAGTTTCACCGTAAATATTATTTTTAAACTCAAACACTGTATAATATCATTATTCAATTTATTCAATTCAAATACTCCTTTTTGAAGTACAGATTTGCTAGTTATGCTACGATTAAAATTTTGAATATGAAAATCTATACTGAATATGAAAATGAGAACTAAATAACTTACAGAATTTTTTGACATCCAACCACTGCAGTTCTTCTGAATCTTAGCATATTTCTTTTTATTTAAAATGGTTCTGTTAGCATTATTTTGTAGATTTTGTAATTTTGAAGATATGCTTTCATTTGCTGTAAACAAAATAGTTGAGCAATATAACAAATTGGGAAGAATTATGCTGTTATACACAATTTTTTTGCAATACATACTGAGATTATGAGAAACTCTATAGAAGTAATTCATCTTTGATGATATTTTTGAAATGATGTATTCATACTGCTCTTGAAACAGTAGTTTACTATCCTTATGTATGTATAGACAGCGCCATGTATGGCGCCTTTTCAAAGTATATATACTAAGTGACATATAAATCCGAACACCCAGTTTAAATAGTTTTATTTTAATAAAAGTTGGTGAATGTATTTATCTTACTGTAAATAACAAGTGAAAAAATGTTCAGCCTTATCAGTTGGACATACCGGTTTTTATACTGCTTTTTTTTAATTCACTAACGCTCTAAAAATGAATATTTCAGCCGCAGTAAAGAATCAACGTTGGCGGATTTTGGTTCTTGACATCCTTTACGATCGGTTACGATCCTAGAGTACGGAGACCTGTACGATTTCGTCAACTTAGTGAGTTTGATAGGGGCCGTATAGTGGGACTTCGGGAAGCTGGACTTTCTTTTCGGGCAATTGCAGTTAAAGTGCAAAGAAGTGTAGACACTGTGGTTAGGTGTTGTCAGGCATGGCTTCGAGAAGGCCGTACGCAAAGAGCAAGGGGCACAGGACGCCGCCGTAGAACAACAGACCGTGAAGATCGCCGCCTAAGATTATTGGCCTTAAGGGACCGTTTCTCCACTACCAGGTCCATTGCAAATGAATGGTTTGCAGAACACGGAAGACCTATTGGCATGCGAAGTGTTTACCGACGAATGAGAAGTTTTGGCTTGTTTTCATACCGGCCACACTGGGTCCTCCCTTTAACTCGAGAACACCGACGTAATCGCCTTGAGTGGTGCAAACAACGGTCACTCTGGGATCAGGAATGGAACAGTATTGTCTTTAGTGACGAGTCTCGGTTTTGTTTAGGCATGCACGATGGTGGTGCCAGAGTTAGAAGGCGACGTAGTGAAAGGAGGAATCCACAGTTTTTTGTTGAAAGACATGTTCATCACACTGTTGGAGTTATGGTTTGGGGTGCTATAGCTTATGGTTCCAGGTCACCTTTAATCTTCATCAGAGGTAGCATGAACGCGCAGCGTTATATCCACGAAGTTCTAGAACCCCATCTTTTACCCTATCTTGATACCCTGGCAGATCCAACTTTCCAACAACATAATGCCCGACCACATGTTGCAAGAGTCACAATAGACTTCTTTCAACATAATGATGTCACATTGTTACCATGGCCACCAAGATCTCCCGACTTATCCCCAATTGAGCACGTGTGGGATATGATGGGTAGGAGATTACTCAATTTGCAACGTCCTCCTCAGACTCTAGAAGCACTTCGAGAGGAGTTGGTGGTTGCCTGGAATGAGATACCACAGGAGGACATTGACCACCTGATCAGAAGCATACCTAGGTACGTTGGAGAATGCGTAGCACATGAGGGTGCATCCACACATTATTAGAGGTCAAAGGGCTTTAAAGCAGTTCAATCATTTTGAAATTTTTATCATTTACTTATTATGCTTCATTAAGTACTTATACAAAATTTTATTAAAATAAAACCATTTAAACTGGGTGTTCGGATTTATATGTCACTTAGTATATATTAAATAGAGAAACTGCTGTGAGAAATTCTCATAGATGTCGTTGCGGTATCTCATTTTATAATTTTTTGGACGCAGGAGTATTGCAATAGGTTGGCTATGTTCAGGTAGAGTAGGTCAATAGTAGCATGCAGCTAGTAAATAAAAGCACTGGTAAGCAGCTCATAGTTAACTTTCGAGCCGATCTTCGTAGTTTTTTCTTCAACCGATTTCCTATTTTTCTTTTAACAGAAACAGTTCATGGCAAAACTAGTTCTCCCCACGCCTGGACGCGAGATCGCACGAGTGTCCTTCTTAGGTCCCTTCTTGAGTGTCTCAGTGTTCGCCGAAGATGAACCAAAACTGGCCGAGAAATTCTTTTCGGGCTCATCCAGCGACAAAGCGCTGGTCAAAATGCTACATTCCGAATTGGAAAATGTCAGATCGCTCCAGCACAAGATATTTCATCTGATGATCGCCAATCAGGACAGTAGAGATCAGAGCTTGAACTATATTGCTGAGGTGTTGAAACATAACGAAAAACGGTAAGCTGAATTATTTTTTTTGTTATTAACTCTTTTTTTACCTTTTTTTTTTTAGTTCTAATCTGTTGGTATATCGATTCTTTACATTTCGCCTTTCGTGGTAATTCAAAAGCGTGTAAGTGCCATATTTAGGCATTTTTGAATTTCAGTGATTTTTATGGTCCATGCACCATGGTTTAAATACCCCCTTGAACAACTTGCACCGATAAAACTTTAGACTTTACAATTATTTCGGGAAAATTTGCTAATATGATTAGAATAACGTAGAAACCGATTTTCCCGTTTAATGATGACTCAGCGTAATATACCCAGTGGACATTTATATGCACTGCTGTAGATTTTTTTAAAGAAACTGTTACTAATACGCTATGTTTATGACACTGACCACATGGACTATATGAACTCATGAACTCTATAAAATTATGCATAGAACCCTCATATGTACGATTGTATATAAATTGGTTAATAATTGATGTCATATGATAGAAAATTGGGCATGAAATTGTAATCAAACGAGTATACAGTTTGGCTAAACGCCAGTCGCAACATTCAGGCAATTGTCAAATTTACAAAAGTTCCATGAACTTTTCGTCGCATTATTACGATGCTGATTGTATGGAAATGCGCCAAGCTTTTTGCGACACTGTGGAAAATTTGCTTACGAAAGATTTTAAATAGCTTCCGAGCATACGCAAAATTTTGGCCGCGCTAATAACCTTGAAACGTTTAAAAACCGCGTTGAAATTGGATTTGTTTGTTTGCTGTAGATTTATTTAGCATTGATGCTACAATACCAAAGTTACACAGTATGGATATCACATATTATATTATGTCTTCAAGACTACATAAATTTTTTTACAAAAATTTCACTACTATGAATTCTGGTTTTCTATGAAATATCATCACTTCATCAATCTAAGATTTTCTTGAATATTTAGCTTCTGGTTGGTCCATTTTAATTGTCCAGCAGTAATCTGCTAACATATTTGGGCTCCATTTGCCCTGGTACCGCTTTTCCATATTAGAAATGTCCTGATGGAACCTCTCACCGTGCTCGTCGCTGACAGCCCCCAAATTGTCAGGAAAAAAATCCAGGTGCGAGTCTAAAAAATGGATCTTAAGTGACATGTTGCAAGCCAATGCTTGATATGACAATAATAGCTCGCTAACCAACTCTCTGTAGCTGTCACTCTTGTGGTTACCCAAAAAATTTGCAACAACATTTTTAAAAGCCTTCCATGCAGATGTTTCTAAATCGCTTAATTTTTCTTCAAATCTTGATTCTTTTATTAACTCCCTAATTTGAGGGCCAACAAAAATACCCTCTTTTATCTTTGCATCACTTATTTTAGGGAATTTTTCTTTTAGATACAAAAATCCACTCCCATTGCGATCCATTGCCTTCACAAAATTTTTTATTAATCCTAATTTGATATGCAATGGTGGTAGAAGCACATTATTTGGCTGTACAAGGGGTAAATACTTTACGTTTTTTTGCCCAGGAACTAACGATGCACGCGTAGGCCATGTTTTTTTTTATATAGTGATTAGTTCTGTCTCGGCTATCCCATTCACAAAAGCAGCAAAACTTTGTATAACCCAGCTGAAGTCCAAGTAATAGTGCAACAACTTTAAGATCACCGCAGATTTTGAAGGAATATGTACTGTAATTTATTTTTTCAAGTAAAAGTTTCATATTTTCATAGATTTCTTTCATATTTGCAGCATAGGCCAGAGGTACAGACGGAAGCTTATTTCCATTATGCAATAACACTGCTTTTAGACTTGCTTTCGAAGAATCAATGAATAAACGCCACTGAGAGAGATCAAAATCTATGTCCAACATTTTCATAATCTCATTTATGTTATTGCAAAACACCAAATCTCCATCCTGAGAAAAATACGTTCTGAAGTGTTGATCGGTTTCGAAAATAGCTAACTTTTGTATTATGATGTAGCAAATTCCATTCTTTTAGACGTGATCCTAATAGTTCTGACTGCTTTTTGACAAATTTAAATCCGGAACCAAATCATTTAGGTCTCCTTGAGTTATCAAATGTGGCTCGTTTACAATTCCTTTTAACTCAAAGTCATCGTCCTCCTCAACACATTCACCTGAAGTGGACGGTTGTGAATTGTTCTCAACAGACGTAGTTGCAACTGGTATTAGTTCTGGCAGTTTTTTACAATGAGAGACTGGTCTTATAGCCGAAGATAAGTTAGGGTAAATAACTGTGTTTTTTTTCTTGTAATTTATACCTTTTATGTCTGTGAGACAAAAATAGCAATCTGAAACGTGATCTCGCTGTTCAGTCCATATCATGGGTACAGCAAACGGCATAGGTCGTGCACCTTTCTTCCAGTCGGTTAAATTTTTCACACACGTTATGCAACAGACATGAGTGGCCCAGGATTTATCTTGATGGGCGACAGAAAAACCAAAACATTGGTGATAACACTCCAACACAAGATTCGTAAAATTTCGTCGTTGTTTTTTGAATGTTAGTTCTCCGCAGACGTAACAAAAAGAGTTAGGATCATTATTACACTTCCTCGACATATTCACAGGGTTAATAAATCACAAAAAAGTGTTCAAATTCAACAACAAATATTTTTATAAGGATTTACTTGTAAGCGTTTCTGTTCATTTACTGCCGTAGTACTAGTTATGAGTATTACCGTATCACAACAAATATGAGGCTAATAGACATATGACAGCTGTCATGTAATAATGAGGGTAGACTGATAAAACAAATTAGCTGTCAAAGTTCGTGTTGACCAGTGTTATTCTTATAATGAATAAAATAATTGCAGGCGACTAAGCAATTTGTCTACATGATTAGTAAAATTTATAATCAGTGGTCAGACCCAAAAACTTGATTGTGTCTGTTTTATATAATAATTAATAAAATCAAGGGAGTATTGAAATGTCATAAAATTTGTCTTATTAACATTGAAAGTGAAGTAATTGTCACGCCATTTTTTTATTATTTGTATATCACTATCAATTTTTGTCTTAATTTCAGTTCTATCTGTGTCTTGCCAAGGCATTGTGGTATCGTCATTTATATATATATCATTTACCATTAATTATTAATCCTTGATATTGACTAAGAACAGGATCAGACCTAATACTGATCCTTGAGGTGTGCCTGCGTTTAAATTTAATTTATTTGAAATATAATGTATTGAAGATTTTACAATTTGGGATCTATTATTTAAACATGTTTTAAACGAATTGAGTGCACTTCCGGTACAACCATATCCGTTTAATTATTCTAATAGTATACCATGATTTACACAGTCAATTGCTTTCTAAAAATCGCACAAAGAGAGCTATTGCAATTTGTGTATTGTTTAAATTTGAGTATAACTGTTGGTGTAATGTAAGGCCTGAAGCTACACAATGTCGACCTTATGTGTTAAATTTTTGTAATATTTTCTATAGGCAGCAGCGGTGGCCGCAGTAGTAGACTCTTCGGTCTCCTGATCAGTCACCGTGCGCTGTGCGGGTTCGGGTCCCGTCCCAGGAGAAATTTTTCTTTTGGCTATGGATGTTGTGATTGTCCGTAGGTGGTAGACGGTCTCTGACTGTCGAACGTGGAGGTACCACCCGGCGGATCTCGTAGGCGGAGCCAGAATGTGTGCATGTTGCATGCACACGTGTTCCCTCGCCAGAGTCCGTGTGGCGTTCCCCCTTTCCCCTGTATCCCCCTATAGCCCCACGGTACCCAATGGGTGTTTAGGCTTTAGGCCTTCGTGGTAGTTGGAATATAAAAAAAAATAAATGAAAACAACGATTCTCTGTTACGCAATTTATGTGTGTTTGTAAGAGCGAGTAACTGTCTGTTAAGGATCGGCTTGCGCAGTGTGCAAATTCTCTTGATAGGTTAAGCTCATCAAGTGGCACATTTAAGACGATCTGTTCGTATGACAAGTGTAGCAGTTTCTTAATATTTTCTGTTAGTTTGGCAACCCTGCTTGGTTGCTTCCCCGAGAGATGCCAAACCATCTATGAGCGAACCGCCAAATTAAACGCGATTCGCTTATAGATCGCGCGCTAGCCGATTTCAGAGACATTCCACCTAGTGTCCTTTATTGGTATAACTGCTCTTTGGTGTTGTGTTACTAGAGTTTCCCTGACCCCAGTTACTTTTTTCGGCAGGGCACAAATCCAGGTAGAAGAAAGGGCGTTAGCCGGCGATGGGTTCATGTTAAATTTGCTGAGCGTTCTACAGAACTTATCAGTGAAGATAAAGTTAAGCAGAGTAGATTTTATGTATCCCTTCCATCCTGATGCTCAAGTGAGCATCAAGAACGACACAAGACTGAAGTTTACCTCTCAGGAAGCCGCTGATTGGCTAGAAGAATTCGGTGAGTATACGCAATACTTCAGTTGAAAAAATATTTTTATAATCTAGTAATTCTTTTCTTAAACCGAATCGAGTATATGTAAAAGGTCATACGCACGATTGTAGTTGTAGAGGGGTGGGCCATAATAACATTTACTTTTGAAAACAACGTAAATGAAAGCAGGTTATACCTAGAAGTTCACTAATTTTTTTGATGTAAAAAGACATTGGCAATTTATGTTTTGAAAATGATATCATCAAGGCGGCCTCCAGATCTCCCAGAACACTCTTCCAACCTCAGATTGTGGAACACTCGCCTGCAACCCAACTAACAATTATCACTCCTATTAGAGTTGCAAGAATGATTATACAGTATTCCTTAAACAGCATTGTATACTGTAAGAACATTGGCAAAACCCTCTTAGAACAGCTATACAAGCGGAATGGGCACACCTAATAGGACACTTCAGTCATTTAAGAGATTGTATAAAGGCTGCAGGTAACAGTTATAAAACAAAAGTGTAAGCCTCTTGCAGCCGCTATAGGACATTTGCGTCAGTGCAAGATTCAGTTTTTGTCAACTATACAACTATTCTCTTACGTGATTCTACTTTATTGCAACCAAACTATTTCCTATGTAATGTATAGACGAAGTGAAGAATATATAACTAACACATTACAGTCATTTTGTTTACTTACATATCGCCCATTGTGAATTTCATACACAGGTATATGATAAACTTCTACACTTTGATATAGGGCTATTCAATTACTTGCGCAGCAAATTTTATTGTGATTATCGTGCAAATTAGTTACCCAATTTCTACGGGCTTCGTATTTGATTCATATTTTGACAATGATCCAAAGTATGTCTAGATTTTTAAGATGGAAAACTGAACTTAACTGCGTTAAATCTTCCACAAATCCTATATTTAGACACAATTACACTAATGTTTATCACTTTATATCTGTAATTTCGAACTGAAACATAATTATTTAATATTAAATAGAGGAATAAATGTTTGCCCAATATGGCGGGTGGTTGTGTACAATCATGGCATCGTCCATGTTGTCTTTAGGTTATTAATATTTTGGTGTTGCCTGCAGGTGTTATACAACAGTTTGACAAATGTCTGAAATGAAATACCGACAGAGTCGAATGATTTACCCAGAATTTGTACCAGATCTATATCTTCTGTTTGAACAGTTGATAAAACCTTTTGAACCGATATGTATGCGTTGTTTGTCTTAAAACATCGGTTATGGCATTTTAACAAAAATATGACAGCAGAAAGTTAGGTTATGGTGAAGTTGTTTACCAACATATTTAGCATATGTAACAGTTGTATAAGTGCTTCCGTTGGGAGCAATTTGTTGGCTAATGTAGTAAATTGCACAGCAAAGCAACAAGGCTCAGGTTTGTTTTATAAGCGTTAGCATGGGTGCCACAACACAACCATTTTGACTAACTTGCAAATATGCCGTATAAAATAGTTGTATAGACGTTTATGCAACAGTTAAAATTTTGCCCTATAAGGTGTTGTATAACTATGCTTTAAGAATATTTTAAACACCTCATTTTAGAGCAAATATGTTGCAGAAAGCAAATTTGCATTCCACACAACATTAAGCCAGCATTTTGGTGTTCAGGCAACAACAATAGAGAGCTTTTATGGCTGAACGGTTCTTTTACCAAAAGCTTATACCACTACTTTGCTAGTTGGGAAGTTACTCTTGAGATTGCGGCCATTTCGTGTCTAATGCTTTGCTTTTAATTCGTTGATGCTCTTTGGATTAGCATTGTAGACTCGGCTCTTGAGATATCCACATAAAAAGAAATGGAGTGAGACAAGTCACGGATTCGTGGTAGCCAATCAGTGTCCCACATTGGACGTGTGACAGGTAGCGCCGTCCTATTGAAATCACGTCATGGAGTTGAGTTCATCAAAGTCTTGGAGCTTTTGGACCAGAAACTCTCTCAGCATTCGAACAAAACGTTCTGAATTAACAGTTACAGATTGCCCGGTATAAGAAAAGTAGGGTCTAGTCAAACCGCTAGGTGATATTACTGCCTATAAACTGTGACTTTTTGGCAGTGAAGTGGTTTTTGATGCTTCAGCGAAGGCTGCTTCGCACTCCAGTATCGACAGTTTTGCTTGTTCACAAAACCGTTCAAATGAAAGTGAGCCTCGTCTGAAAAAAGGATGTTTCTCAAATCACAAAACCGCTCAAGCACTAACACTGGAAATTCTATTCTCTTTGTAAAACCAGTGTTTTTTAATTCTTGGTGGATTTGAATTTTATATGGATGAAGTGTCAAGTCACGCTTCAACATTCGTCTCAAACCCATACAAGCAATACTCATAGTCGCTGAACGTCTACGAGTTGAAAGCTCTGGTTAGACCCGGATGCCATAGTCCGCACTTTATACTGTCAATACTAATGAACAACTAAATCAACTGACGTACTGCTGGCGGCTACTATGCACTCATGGACATGTCTCAACATGCAGTAACATGCAGCCTCCTGCGTCCGTTTGTTAAGTCGTAACTTTTATAAAACCCTTTGTATTTAGCATTACTTAGTAACTCTTAGGCCCGTATCGTCAGTCGTTCCTACAATTGTAGGGCGCGTTTATGGCCTCCTTGATTGTCATACTCCTTTCTCTCCTTCAAAAATTTCTAGATTACACTTGTCCCGTGTCAGCGTCAGCGCTCTCCTATTGTGAAGATATGTTTTCTTTTTAAATTGTAGGAAATTTCAGGCTGATAAAACATGATATAACTCAAAAGCAAGCACAATTTGATGCAAATAGATGTTTGTGAGATAACCTCAAAATAGAGCTCTGACACGGAGAAGTAGAAAACTATGACAATCAAGGAGGCCATGAAGGCCCTTGGCACAAAAAATACTCACGGAATTATCAGTAAATACTGATGGTACGGACTACAGTAAATACCGGCCTTGTGACATTCGCCTTATTGTTCACTTAATCTCCAAGGAACGTTAATAAGTGTGATTTTGATTGAATTTACTTGACACCACTATTTTTTGGCCAGCCAACCAATCGTCAAGTAATCAACCAGCCGGTGGCAGCGAATCCCGTCCCCGTTCGAACTTCTCCACCCTCTGCTGGTTTTTGACGTTGCACTGCCACCATTTGGCCCTGATTCCGGCCCTGCACAAGTACCAGCGACGCGTCAGAGCCGCCCGAGATCTGCAGAAACTGCTCGATGAAACGGCAGCGGCGGAAGCGCAATGGCGGGATACGCCGTTCGCGGATAGAAATAGGCAGTTTATTAGGAGGTGGAAGCAGCAACTTAAGAAGCTCAACAAGTGAGTAGAAATAGTTTATTTCTTTTTTCACATGGTCGGGGATGCTGGCGACTCACTATTTTCGCTCTCGCTGTACATATAGTTTATGAACTTTTTTGAAGGAACTGAACTCCTTCTCTCGACCCCACGAAATTAAATGAAGACATTTTTTTATAAAAATCGACTATGACAAAGTTGTACTGAGCCAATATGTCGCTCATTGAATGCAGAACTAGCTCAAGTCACAAAATGCCAATTTTACAGGACATCATTTTTTCTGATTTTGTCTTAAACTTCTTGCAAGTCTTGAATGAAAATGTGTTCATACTATGAGTATACTTGGATGTGTTTTGCTCTTTTAAGTTTTTTTTTATTTAGGCTTACAAAACTGAAATTTGTGGACTTAGGATACTCGTCTTCGTGGAAGTTGTATCCTATGTCCACATAGGATAGGGTGTAGTCGTAATATAAGTAACTTAGGCTAGTTTTGACCCATGTTTGTATCTATATATGTACATTCAGCTTATTCAGTACAAAAATAGAAACGGGAATACCTTGAAAACATTTATTGACAACTAAGCAGTCTTATTATACAGGCACATAATATTATAATTAACTACCAAAACATAAACGAGGCATTCAAGTAAACGATGGACAGTGCTCAAAATAATAACAGGAAACAAAAATTATAATTCAGTATCCCCACCAGATCAACTACTGCTACCTGATATATAAAAAAGTGGTAGTATTAAGAAACTTTTTGTAACAGAAAAATGATGAACTTCGCGCTTTCAAATCAGAAAAATCATCTTTGTCCATCTCAGTTACTACATACGGTTTACTTTTTTTTGCCCTGCGTACTAAAGTATACCTTTGATCAGGGGTAAATAAAGGGATAAGCTTAGATGCTCGTTCAATTACACTATGCATCGAATCCCCTTCGGTTTGCGTATGACATTTCTCCAAAAATGTATGCCTTATCACAATATTGTGCTTCTGTGCTAATAAGCTATACGTACTAAAAATATATTTGTTTCGATTTTGACCTGCACAATTGTCGGAATAGAAAGAAAATTCTCTCGTATCTTCATGTACTTTGAGGTCGATAAAGCGCATCAAACAGCTGTCTATTTCTGAGCTTCCCCTTTTCCCAACAGACTCGTACCACATGTAACAATGTCCTTCAGAAGTTTCCAAGTTAAAAATCGTGAAATTGTATGTTGATAATTTAAGTTTGTAATATGCCATACCAACATTACTTTTGGGGAGCAGTATTTGTTCCAAATCAAAAACGGCTGCACAAAATTCTCTATTTTGCTTAGCCGTCTGTTTATCAGCATTTTTTAAATCCCGTCCAATGTCCTTGTTCTTTCTGTGCAACTGGTATTCTTCTTCCATTTCATTTCTTTCTTCCGTTGTTCCGCCATCATACTTGTTGCAAATATCATACAAATCTTTTTTAGGGATGAAGAATGAGAAGTTTAATTCGGTGTTGAAGATTATTCTGTAAATGCTCTCTGTCGCAGGTTGGATGTTGTTCTGCTCACAATATTCAAGATAAAGGCCATACATCTTCGAAATATTAAGCGTTGGGTGCAGAAATTGCTTTGAAGTGTTTTTTCGGCAGTAGTGACTCTTCACTGTTTCGATTAGATTAATGTGGTCCCTCACTGACTGCTTTATTGAATCACTCAATTTAGAATTCTTGCATGCCTTACCACACCGATCTGCCCCGACTGTACCGGTGCTACCCATTTTTTTAACACTGTCTTAATGACCTGGGCGCTTATCCCTAAAGTATTCATAAAAAAAGTTTTAGAGACCGCTATTTTCTATCGACGATTTAAAAATGTATACTTAAAGGAAAACGCCTTTTTTCTTCTGGTTGTGTTTTCTGTACAGGTATATTCGTTACTACTGTTTCCATCCTGCTTACTCAACCGTGTTCTTTTCTTGTCCATTATATTTACATACTGGGCAATAAAATCCCGTTGTCTATTGACGTCCCCCAGTTGCCAATATCTGTTTCCTCTCTTCTTCTGTGAACTTTTCGCTGCACTTTTGTCTGCAGTTAGTACAAGGAGGTTTTGGTTGCCTTTTTGGACGGAAGTTTCCTCTCCAGTCTATATACTTCTCGCCAAGATTCCGCAGCTTATTTATTTCATTTCTTCTCCATGCACCCGGATTCCTCTGTCTCTTCTGTGTGTTTTTCTTGGTTTTCATCGGCTCATTTTTATCATGTTCTGATGAGTTTTCGATATTATCTGGATCTCTACTGTGAGTTGAGTTTTTCCTTAATGTTGGTATATAGTCCATGTCATTGCTATCATCACTGGTGGCAAATGGGTCACTCTCACATTCAGAAAGCATAAAATCATCCTCTATAGTATTTGAGGATTTTGATGTCAGATGTCAGTATTTTGTAGAACAGTTTTCTCATATGTATCTCCACCGTTCAATTCAACTACAGCGGGACTATTGATCGTAAGGATTTCATTGGATGGAAATTCCTCAATGGTTACAGAGATATTTTGTAGGATGTAAGTTGAACTTTCCCAAGGCATCAAAAAAAGAGTAGGCTGTTGGGTGATACTGTCCTGCATCAGTTGAGCTACGCCGAAGAAGGTATTTTGGGAACATCATCAGCTTGGTTGTTCGAAGTTGTTGATCCCCCATCATCTTCTTGTACATATTCTAGAATCAAATTGGACATTGTAAATTAACAGAAAGGCAACAGGAACGGATGTGGGAAAATTTTTGAGATCCACCTACAGAAAATAATAGTCGGGCTAATAATTGTTTAGCTCTAATCCTATAACCCAATCAGTTTTCCCTTCCTATTCCTCTTCGAGTCACCCTCAAATCGTCTTTTGTAGATTATAACTTTATAGTTTATACAGTATCGAAGTCTAATGTCACTTACCTTCTGTAATAGCCTCTCCAATTTTTTGTTTGGCATTCGTAGTAAACGATGTAGATGAGCTCCTTTTCTCTTGATGTATGCTTACAAATCATGCCCATACATAATTTGGAAATTATTAAAACTTAATTTATTGTCTCACCAGCCTTCGGGGTGCCTTCCGATTTTTTTGGGGCCACCAATTGTATCATTTTTAAAGTTCTAGAATTCATTGTGAGCGCGATATACAAAATAATATCGCTAGTTTTAAGGAAGTTACCGTATTGCAGAAGTATTCTATGTCAACAGCTACTATGTATTTGGTATACAAATTCTAATACAGAACTAGCCTATGTCCATACAAAGCACAGACTTAGCATACGAAACCGCCAAGGGATTGTTCTGCACTGAATCTCGGAACGCGTCGCAAGTTGGGATATTTGCATAATAGACGCGGTAGAGGGGATAACGTGTTGATATTATAGGCTGGTTCTGCACCCAAATCCGGCATGCGCCGTAGCATCCCATGGTGTTGTTAATGCAAATTCGGCAAAAATGGACTTGGGATAGTTCTGCATTCAATGAGCGATGTATTACATGAGGAATTACTAAGTCTCCGTTAAATTTCAATTCAACTAACAGCACTCAAGGCAATACAAATAGTAATTATTATTAATTATTTAATATATGATGGCTATAACGCCAACGGTCAGGTTCTAGACAGATGCTACTCTTTTAAGGACCTTGGAGTAACCTTTGATAGCAGGCTAATGTTTAACGAACATGTACTTAATATCTCATCGGCTGCCACCAGGCTACTTTGCTTCTGTATCAGAAACTGGAAGGGGTTCTCCAATGTCAGTACTTTAATGACTTTATTCGTTACTTTTGTCAGAAGCAAGTTGAAATATGCAACCCTGATCTGGTCTCCAATATACCTAAATTCAGTTTCAATGATTGAAGGCATTCAACGTAAGGCTATTAAGTATTTTTACCTTAAATGTACTGGTTCTTATCCAGAAAGAGATTTTTGTTATCATAACCTTTTGAATTTTTTCGATTTAGATTCACTATCAATCAGACGTAATAGGTTTGCCTTATCGTTTTTATATGGCCTTATGCACAACCAAATTGACTGTACGGATTTACTTGAAAAATATATTTCCGCATTCCAAGGCTTGAAAGTCGTCAGCAATCAGCCTTTTATTGTCAAGCAGGCCGGAAGAAGGTAATGTTGAAATCTCCAACTTATGTAATGTGCAGTCTGATGAACCCAATTTGTGATCTGTGCGATATTTATAATGACAGCTGTAAATCAATCATAAATTGCTGTAAGTCATCGATTGTTCTCTGAGCTTACTTAGGCCAATTGATGCTAAGTTTCAGTTTTCAATGTGTCTCTCTATTTTCTTTTTGTTAATGTATTTGATCTTCTCCTGTAATTGGGTTTAACCTGTAGGAAATATGAAATATAAATATAAATAGTCGTGTATAAAGGCAAAGTTGCTCATTTAGGGAACTAATAAAATGTTTGGCAATTCGGATTAGACGAATTCACCCTTAACCGTTTTCATTCTCTCCTGGCTTAATTTCAGCTGGGATTTCAATATAAATGGATTAACTTGGTGGACCAATTCACTGGCCACCTCGTTACCCTGACTTAATTACAAAATATTTTTATTTATGAGGACACCTTAAGAAGTACCATGTCTTGAAATCGTCTAATACCACAATTTTCTGCAAATACTTGCACTTTTAAAAATAACACTACAATTCGTATCTAGTGACGGAACTGTCAAAAAATTGAACTATGTCAAGTCCACTATGATCCTCGCTACAGACTATGAGAATTAAGAGACAAACAAATCATCGTCTGGCTCCTTGTACCCACTCGGAATTCGATGTTTCAATGATAGAAATTTTAATACTGTCAGTATGGCAGGTTATTACGTAAAAAACCTATATAATGTAAATAAAAACGATAAAATGTCAACTTGTTGTCTAGGTAGGCTAGCGTGCAAATAGTTCATTCCATGCTTGCTACAAGTGAGCATGAAGTGAACGAAGCTAGTTCCAAGTTGACGTCATGTAGGAAAACCTACATAATGTCAAAAAAAACTGCCATAATGTCACTTTTCAACTTACATAATATCCTTCAGATCACCTTATTTAGGTGGTTCCTTAAAAAAAGTTATACTTTATCTGAAGTCACTTGAAACACTGTGAAATACCGGGTGCGTTTTATATATCTATATTTAACACGCTCTGTTGCTGCAAAAATCGCCAAATTTCGCATCAAATATCCCCCGTATAAGAGATCAAAGGCAGTTTCACCGGTCCACGTGGAGTAAAGCACGCCTATGCGTGGACATAGCCAATGAGAAAGCGTGTATTTCAGAGCTCGGAACAAGTGCAGGTGGCTACTGAAAATTGAAACAGTTTAGCCAGTGCCGTGTAGCGGTGAATAAACGTGTTTTCTTTAGTCTGTCCGTGTTTTTTCATAGATTTTATTAGTTTGTGTGTTTTTGACTTTTGAATACTCAGTTTACTTGTTGATTTAATTGTTGTGTTGATTGTTCTTGTGTGTCCTAAATATGGCTCTTTGGAGACCTTGGGAAAATGCTCCAAGCCACGAGGAGATGGTTGATGAACCTGTGCAGGCAGAATTCTTTCATAAAGATTTAGAGGAACAGACCCAAAGAGTAATCCTAAATATGTATGACTGTCTGAAAAACGAAAATCCAGATTCCTCGCAAAATCAAATTTTAAACAGAATTTGTATCCTGACAAAAATCAGTCGGTCTACCATTTATCGGGTTATAAAAAGGGGAGATGTAGTCAACCATTCCTTCCACAGAAAGCGCATAGGGCAAAAATTAAAAAGAATAGACGTGGGTTTTCAGGAAGATATTCGTCGTATAATATACGGATTTTATAAAGAAAATTTGGTGCCCACGTTGGAAATGATACGGGATAAATTAAAAGATTATCCTGAAGATTTTTATAATTACAAATGCTTAGACTCACTGCACTGTATTGTAAAACTGTGTGGTTTTCAATACAAAAAATTAGATAAAAGAATGGTGATTATGGAGTCGTCTCGAATCGTTGAATTGCGCCAAGAATTTTTGCACAAAGTTAAAATCTATAGAGAGCAGAAAAGAAATCTGATTTACCTGGATGAAACGTGGTATGATACCCATGATGTTGTGCAGTACGGCTGGGTTGACGACAGCAACAAGTGCATTTTAAATGCACCATGCAACCGTGGAAAACGAATCATTATTCTCCATGCTGGCAGTGAAAATGGATTTATACCTAATGCCTTGCTGTTATCTGCCAAAAATATCAAAGAATCATGTGCCGACTATCATGAGGACATGACCTCCGACTTATTTGAAAAGTGGTAGAGCAGCAGTTAATACCAAACATTTCCCCAAATTCAGTGATTATTATGGACAATGCGCCATACCATTCCCGACAGAAAAACAAAATTCTGAATACAGGCACAAAAAAACAAGACATTATTGATTTTATGAAGGATAAGGGAATGGAAATACCACAAAAATCAACCAAAGCCATATTATTGGATCTTATTAAAAGACAAAAATTTGAAAAAGAGTATGTTGTTGACAATCTGCTTCAGCAAAATGGCCATAAAGTATTACGTCTACCTCCCTATTACTGCATTTTTAACCCGATTGAGTTGGTCTGGGCTGCTTTAAAAAAAAAAGTAAGAAAACATAATCAGACCCCTCAATTAAGTGAATCGCTATTGACCACAATAAGAGATGCAGTATCTCATATTGCTGCCACAGACCTATGGAAGCAGTGATCTAGGCATATTATTGAAAAAGAAAATGAATATTGTGTTTTGCCTCCTGTAAATCCCGTTGTAATTCCACTACAAGATGACTCTAGCGACAGCTCCGAAGGCGAGGATGATATATAAATACCTATAATGTAAGTCTTTATATATATGTACCTTTTTATATACCTACCTGCTATGTAAATATTTGCCTATGTCAAACGTTGGAATTCTGTAATTTTTCCATTTCTTAACTTTCAGTCAACATAAATTAAACTCCCAATATAAGTATTTTTTATCCCAAATCAAAAAAATAAGAAGATAGTAAAATCCATTTATTGTGATATAAAAACATTATTATTATCGTTCTAAATAAATGCCGCACGCCTATGATACGTCATGAAATTACAAAGGACGCGCCGACCAAAGGTTTTTATGCTATTTCAAGTGACTTCAGATACACCATACATCTCTACACGGTAACTAGATAGTTAATGCCGATCGTAGGTCTGTCACAGGATATATAAGGAGAAGGTTATAAGAGAAACAAGTTCTCAGACGATACAGATACGCCTATCGATTTCTTTGGCACCCCTCAACGTTTCGGCTCTTCTCTACAACTGATTGACGTAAACCTAAGGCATGTGTTGTTTTCGACAGGGCGAAATCTTGCGCCGATGCTGGCCTTCTAGACAAGAACCTGATGCGTCGCTCCCTAGTGTTCTACACGACAGTATGCGAGTACCTTCTCAGTCTACTGACGAACACACCTTCTGGTAGTCCCTTACCCCCCATGCCACTGCCTGCAGAGATTCCTGGCGCCTTTTGCTCTTTGCCAGAGTGGTACGTCGAAGACATCGCCGAGTTCCTACTTTTCGCTATACAGTAAGTACTATCTAGAAATTCGATATTTGATTACTCAGTGCCTCAACGCACAAAAAAGTGGTGTGTGCTCGGGGTCCGACTCTCTTTTTTCCATGTCCACCTATTAATTAACCCCCTCCAACTCTTTGTATGACCTTCCAGAAGATAAAGTTGTATATAACAGTGTAGGGTCTTTTTTTGCATGTAATATTTTTTTAGTATAAAGTTGAATTTTATTTAGTATGATTGCTATAATTACATTCTTTTTAAAAAACTACAACAATTACATAACATACAAGTATTCAGAAAAACAAAACTTGCATCTCTAAGAATTTTCACAATATAGTAAATGCGATAGAATAATTGTATTATACAGTATTTTTTGGAATATTTACTAAAACTATTTTGAAATCGTGTATTCATAGTGATCCTCAAACTTATCAATAAATATATATGTGTGTATATATATATATATATATATATAACAAATAGAAAAATAATGGGCAAAATTTGCAAAAACAAGGAAACTGAATTCGAGCAGAAAATAGGATAGGTAACCCGAGCGATACGTATTTCTGCTGGTTGGCTTCATCAGACCCGAAATGAATGCACATATGCAACTACAAAAGTAGATACACATGCCCATACATCCGGATACGGGTGTAACCTGAGGAAACAAAGATGGAAAAAAATTACACACGAAGTCCGCAACAAGAGCCAACCTACACATTGTAGTATAAAATGGCTAAAAGACCTCGAATTTTCAAGGCGACAACTAACCACAACCACGCGGCCGGTTATAGCCACTTGCTGTGGTAAACTTCCAGCCCAAAAGATCTACAAAGAGAAAAGGATCATGCGGAGAAAGGTATTTAACAAATAGAAAAATAAAGGGCAAAATCCGCAAAAATAAGGAAAGTGAATTTAAGCAGAAAATAGGATAGGTAACCCGAGCGATACAGATTTCTGTTAATTGTCGCCTTGAAAATTCGAGGTCTTCTAGCCATTTTATACTACAATGTGTAGGTTGGCTCTTGTTGCGGACTTCGTGTGTAATTTTTTTCCATCTTTGTTTCCTCAGGTTACACCCGTATCCGGATGTATGGGCATGTGTATCTACTTTTGTAGTTGCATATGTGCATTCATTTCGGGTCTGATGAAGCCAACCAGCAGAAATACGTATCGCTCGGGTTACCTATCCTATTTTCTGCTCGAATTCAGTTTATGTGTGTTATGTTATATGAGTATATATATATATATATATATATATAACAAATAGAAAAATAATGGGCAAAATTTGCAAAAACAAGTTTATGTGTGTTATGTTATATGTGTATATATATATATATATATATATATATAACAAATAGAAAAATAATGGGCAAAATTTGCAGAAACAAGGAAACTGAATTCGAGCAGAAAATAGGATAGGTAACCCGAGCGATACGTATTTCTGCTGGTTGGCTTCATCAGACCCGAAATGAATGCACATATGCAACTACAAAAGTAGATACACATGCTCATACATCCGGATACGGGTGTAACCTGAGGAAACAAAGATGGAAAAAAATGACACACGAAGTCCGCAACAAGAGCCAACCTACACATTGTAGTATAAAATGGCTAGAAGACCTCGAATTTTCAAGGCGACAATTAACAGAAATCTGTATCGCTCGGGTTACCTATCCTATTTTCTGCTTGAATTCACTTTCCTTGTTTTTGCGGATTTTGTCCTTTATTTTTCTATTTGTTATATACCTTTCTCCGCATGATCTTTGTAGATCTTTTGGGCTGGAAGTTTACCACAGCAAGTGGCTATAACCGGCCGCGTGGTTGTGGTTAGTTGTCGCCTTGAAAATTCGAGGTCTTTTAGCCATTTTATACTACAATGTGTAGGTTGGCTCTTGTTATGGACTTCGTGTGTCATGTTTTTCCTTTCCATCTTTGTTTCCTCAGGTTACACCCGTATCCGGATGTGTGGGCATGTGTATCTACTTTTCTAGTTGCATATGTGCATTCATTTCGGGCCTGATGAAGCCAACCAGCAGAAATACGTATCGCTCGGGTTACCTATCCAATTTTCTGCTCGAATTCACTTTCCTTGTTTTTGTCCAAAAACACTCTCTGTATGTTTACTATTATCCATACTTCTCCTCAAGTCCTCTAAAATCATCTGTATTGCCGTGTCAGTTGAATGTTTTTCCTAAATCCAGATTGTAATTTGGTTAAAATTCTATTGTCCTCGAAGGATTTCGATAATCTGTTCGTAAATATTTTATTCAAATAGTTTTTCAACATCTGGCAGAACACTTGTTGTCCGTTATTATTGTAAAATTCAGAATTCCTAACTTTCGAAACAGGAGTTCTTATAAAACCTCAATTTTGTTGGAAATCATTAGATTTTAATCAGTTATTTATCAAGATTAATATACTTGCTCCAATAATATCAAAAGATTCATTAAGCACCCTTTTGTCAAAATGTTTCTCTTGTTTTGATTCAATTTCAATTTTGATAAAATTTTCTCGAGATGGTTAATGTTTATTGTTTTAAACTTACTGAATGATCTAATGGGAAATTGGTTGGGATGCCCGTCGTTAATTGATCTTACAATGTCATTGATACTTTCTATGAAAGATGTATTCATTCGATCAGCTTTTATTTTTTCATTTGTCAATACCCATTGTCGAACTTAATTTCTTCCAATAGGAAAAACATTTTTTTTAATGTTTTCCACATCTGTTTACCATTATTTTTGCTATCATCAATTTTGATATTGTAATACTTTTTTATCATCCCGTAGCACTGCTACACGGTGGTTTCTTGATCTGGTGTATTATAAGCAATCATTTTCACTACCAGTAACTATAAACATTTTATAATTACAGTCTCGTTTTAATTTAGAATCCTTTAATGTATGTGAGAACCAAGGTGTCGGATTTTTTCTTTTATAAATTGTTGCCTTGGCTGTAGCTTCATTCATGCAAACTTCAACATTGTCCAATAGGCTTGCCTAGTAGCTATCAACACTATTAAACGTTTCAGTCATATTTTGCAGTAAAAGAGCTTCTCGTGATTTTACATAGTTAATATTAGTAATGTCTTCCACTTTGTTAACATCAAATATATGCATAGCTTTTACAGTTCAAGTTTAAATCTTAGATTTTCAGAAGAAAGACATTGATATTGTGTTTAAAAATATTTCGAATGTAATCTAACGTTGATTCGAAATGTGTTTTCTATCGCATCGCCATCTCTTGGCGGCACTATAATTTTCTGGAAGACGCATTCATGTATAAAATAAATAGTAGTGGACCCAGCTTACTACCTTGCGGTACACCATCAGAAATATTTGTTGAGCAGGTAGATCCAATTTTATTTTTTTAACTTCTGTCAAGAAGTTTTGTAGAATTTTGAATACAGATAGTGATGCATTTTTTTTATGAGCGGGCCTATTTTCTATCACTGTTGTTTTTCCAGGTACTTCCCTAGCGTGATAGCCGACAACGCCGAGGAATCTTTAATCACTTGGCTGCTGGTAATGATCTGCACCTCATCGGCAGTGAAAAATCCTTACCTTGTGGCCAAACTGGTCGAAATAATCTTCGTCACTCTGCCCTCTATCCAAGTGCGATGCGAGAAACTGTACGTTAGATTAATGAGTCACCAGGTGGCTCAGACAGTGCTGCCGTCTTCACTGATGAAGTTCTATACGGAAGTTGAGACTACTGGGAGCAGCTCGGAGTTCTACGATAAGTTCTCGATACGATATCATATCAGTCTTATATTCAAGAGTGAGTATAAAAGTGGCGTCAAGTAGATTGATTCAGTACTTTCCACGCAATGTTGACCAAATGGATGCTAAATTTATAGCAACTATAGATAGATAGATGACGAGAAACTATTGAGTAAATTAGAACACATTGGAATTAGAGGTACACCACTTAAATTATTTCAAAATTATTCGCGTAACAGAAAACATAAGGTTCAAATTGAAAATACATCTACTGAAGAAATTACTGTAATGTATGGAGTTCCACATGACACCGCCATCGTCCATAAAGCCAGAACTTAAAGAACGAAATTGAGAAAGATTTAGTTCAGGCAGCAGACTAGTTCATTAGTTCATGTTCGATATATTAAAAAGGTACTAAATTTCTGTTATATAAGTTCAGATATCACATACAAATTGCCAATAAAACTCAATTAGAAATTTCATATAAAACATTAGTTGAATGCCACATAACCTATGGAATTATTATCTTGGGATTCGAGGGTAACAACCATCTATATTCTTTCCAATTGATACAAAAATTATTTATATAAACAATGCATAACAGACCTTTATTTTATCCCTCCAAATCGCTGTTTATATAATGAAAACTTTTATTTATAAAAAAAATAATTTTCTTTTAATGTTATATTAGAATTCCATAAAAACAGACATTCGCCATTTATAAAAATTATGAATACGATACTAGAAATAAAAATAAACAAATAATTATTGCAACACCAAAAAAGGAAATAATGTTGGTAAATCATTTATATACTTAGGTTCAAAGTTATATCATAACTTACCAACCTATATTAGAAAAAACCGAAGATCATTATTAAAAATAGATTTATTCGAGTGGATATTGGATACTGATATAAGCATGATATAATTTATGAAAACTCTAACATATAAATATCTTTTCCGCATTAACACTATGATACAAAATTAATGTATTACATTTATATTATATAGATTTTTTCTATGCCTTATCAATCAATTTAATGTAACTGCTGTGATATGTGTTATATGTGTTAGAATAATATCCACACAGGCATATCAATTTATCCACAAATAATTGATGTGAATAAATATTATTATGTTATTATTAGAATTTTGCAGAATATTTATGGTAAGTCAAAATATCTTGAATAACAAACATATATTTGGTGTTTCATTAATAAAGCAATTATTACATGTACACTAAACAAATTAAAATAATTGAAATCGTTAATATTATTAATTTAGATTTTTTGTTAAGTATAGTAATAATAATAATTTATTCATATCAATTACAAATTGTGAACAAATTGATATGCAACAAAAGGACAATATCCTTGTATGTGGATGTCATGCTAACCAACGACGATGCTAACACAACACACATATAACATAGCAGTTATAATAAACTGATAGGACTAAAAAAAATCTATATAATACAAATATAATATGTACATTAATTTTGGATCGTAGACTAGCAATGAAGAAAAGATACATCTTAGTTTTTTATAAACTACATCATGTTTATATCAGTTTTCAAAAGCCACTCGTATAAATCTATTTTTAATAATAAAATTCTGTTTTTTCTAATATATTTTGGTAAGTTATGATATAATTTTGGACCTAAGTACATAATGTCATATTCATAATATTTTAATGGTCGAATGTTTGTTTTTATGGGATTCTAGTATAATATATAATATATAAATAATTTTTTTATATCTAAAAGTTTTAATTCTATAAATAGCAATATGCAGGAATGTAGTAAACTAAGTCGTTGGTATATATTTTACAAAGAAGGGGTGCAAGTATTGTTTCTTGTGGAACTCCATACATTACAGTCATTTCTTCACTAGTTATATTTTCAATTTTAACCTTATGTTTCTGTTATGCGAATAATTTTGAAATAATTTAATTTTGGGCATAAGTATACTAAGTGACATATAAATCCGAACACCCAGTTTAAATGGTTTTATTTTAATAAAATTTTGTATAAGTACTTAATGAAGCATAATAAGTAAATGATAAAAATTTCAAAATGATTGCACTGCTTTAAAGCCCTTTGACCTTTAATAATGTGTGGATGCACCCTGATGTGCTACGTATTCTCCAACGCGCCTAGGCATGCTTCTGATCAGGTGGTCAATGTCCTCTTGTGGTATCTCATTCCAGGCAACCACCAACTCCTCTCGAAGTGCTTCTAGAGTCTGAGGAGGACGTTGCAAATTGAGCAATCTCCTACCCATCATATCCCACACGTGCTCAATTGGGGATAAGTCGGGAGATCTTGGTGGCCATGGTAACAATGTGACATCATTATGTTGAAAGAAGTCTATTGTGACTCTTGCAACGTGTGGTCGGGCATTATCTTGTTGGAAAGTTGGATCTGCCAGGGTGTCAAGATAGGGTAAAAGATGGGGTTCTAGAACTTCGTGGATATAACGCTGCGCGTTCATGTTACCTCTGATGAAGATTAAAGGTGACCTGGAACCATAAGCTATAGCACCCCAAACCATAACTCCAACAGTGTGATGAACATGTCTTTCAACAAAAAACTGTGGATTCCTCCTTTCACCACGTCACCATCGTGCATGCCTAAACAAAATCGAGACTCGTCACTAAAGACAATACTGTTCCATTCCTGATCCCAGAGTGCAAACTCACTAAGTTGATGAAATCGTACAGGTCTCCGTACTCTAGGCATCGTAACCGATCGTAAAGGATGTCAAGAACCAAAATCCGCCAACGTTGATTCTTTACTGCGGCTGAAATATTCATTTTTAGAGCGTAGGTGAATTAAAAAAAAGCAGTATAAAAACCGGAATGTCCAACTGATAAGGCTGAAAATTTTTTCACTTGTTATTTACAGTAAGATAAATACATTCACCAACTTTTATTAAAATAAAACCATTTAAACTGGGTGTTCTGATTTATATTTCACTTAGTATATATAAATGATTTTAACATTATTTCCTTTACTGGTGTGGCAATAATTATTTGCTTATTTTTATTTCTAGTATCGTATTCATAATTTTTATAAATGGTTGAATGTTTTTATGGAAGTCTAATACATTTTTTTTTCATCAAAATAATTTTTTTATATTCAAAAGTTTCGATTCTATAAACAGCGATTTGAAGGGGATATGAGAAATGTTTATTCTGCATTTTGATTATGAAAATATTTGTATTATTTGTAAAAAATTTAGATGGTTGTTTTTCGAGATGTACATGTCATATGACACCCAAAAAACAATGTCTCACGTTCGATTTTTTTTGCGATTCACTCTACTTCCTCGCTAGTTTTTCGAAGCATTCTCCACGAAGATTAATACACATTTGCATGCGTTCGAACCAATTTTCGAAGCACTTATTCCACTCGTTTGCTGGCAGATCCAAAACGGCATTTTTGAATGCGTCAACTGCTTCTTCTGGTGACTGGAACCTTTGACCACGAAGTCTGTTTTTCATTTTCGGGAAAGTAAAGAAATCGCTAGGACTTAGATCGGGACTATATGGAAGATGGTCCAATAATTCCACGTTTTCTTTCGTTAAATACTGCCTTGTTTTTTGGGCTGTGTGCGAGCTTGCATTGTCTTGGTGGAGGATGATTCTTCTTTCGGGGTTGATTTTTCGAAGCTCGGTGATGACTTTTAGCAAACAAATGGTGGTATACGAATCCGCAGTAACAGTTCTTTGCTCATTAAGAGGAATTGTTGCAATATGGTCCGCTTTTGACACAAATTGGAACACCCAAACAGTCGACTGTCGTTTTATTTTCTGGTTCATAACAGTAAATCCACGATTCATCACCACTAACAATGCTGTACACATTTTTTGAGTTTCCGGAATTAAAACGGTCAAGCGTTTTTTGACACAAATTAACCCTGGCTGCTTTCTGCTCTTCAGTCAACAGGTGGGGTATCCAACGAGAAACTAATCTTACTCCTAATGCTTCATGTAAAATTTTTTGAATTGAGGTCTTTGAGATCTTCAAGGACGCCTCAATATCACGATATGTCACATGTCTATCTTCAATGATGAGTTTGCGCACGGCATCGACGTTTTCCTGGGTGACTGCCGTTTTTGGTGCACCCACCCTGGGATCGTCGCTAAGACTCACCCGTCCACGTTTGAATTCTCCATACCAACGGGAAATTGTCGACTGATGTGGCGCTTCGTTGTCGAAAACAGACAGTAACTCAGCAAGGCATTCTTGTTGCGATAATTGTCTCTGAAAGTTGTAATAAATTATGCCGCGAAAATGTTCTCGGTGGAGTTCCATTTTTCTGTCTTAGTGACACTTAAAAATTCACTGTAGTGAGAACACTGCACGTATTGTTGTGAAACTTTGAATTTAAGTTTACTAAAGAGTGAGGTCAAGATTAAGTACTGACGTTCGATCCGCGCGGCCTACTATGTTTATATATGCAAAACTTAAAAGTAATGGGAACTAAAAGATCATAACAGGATGTAGATTTTTCCGATTTGTTTAAGCCGTCTATAATTTGAAAAGTACACTACTTAAATTCTTTTATATTTTTCTGATAACTTTTATGGCTTGGACTATCCCGCGTTTCAGGCTTCTGTGACACCCTGTATATTCTATTTTTCATCTCCAAGTCTATGACGTTTTGACACCATTCGCCATATTCTTCAATCTCGAAATATCTCTTCCAGAAATGTGGTCGTCTCCGATACACAGGCAAGCACTAGTTGACGAATCCCGAACCGGCATCCAATTCGTTAAGTTTGTCAACATGCTAATGAATGACACTACTTTTCTCCTCGACGAGTCTCTAGAATCTCTTAAACGGATCCATGAAGTTCAGGAGTTGATCAGCGACGACGAAACGTGGTCAAAATTGCCTTCAGAGCAGCAACAAAGTCGCATGAGACAGCTGAGCTCCGATGAAAGGCAGTGCAGATCGTATCTGACATTGGCTAGGGAAACAGTGGATATGTTCCATTATCTTACGGTGGATATCAAGGAGCCTTTCTTGAAGCCTGAATTGATCGATAGGTGAGTATTTAACAAAGAGTGTTAATCCACATTTAGTTGTTTTTGTTTATACAAGATGTCACAGAATATACCAATTTTTGAGTAATGTTTTAGAGGCCTGTATTTTCATAGAATCCCTTTGGGCATTTTTTAAACAAACACACTGTCATTTCACACTTTACTAAAGAGTAGTTATACAGAGAAATCCAAATATCACTGACGAGAGAGAGACGTATGCAATACGTTTGTTAGAAAGAGTGCACCGATGGCAAAGCGACAAGTCGCAGCTGCGTCCGTGGTGTCGTCACTCGGCTTGCTAGGCAACATGGTGCTTCTATCTCTTTCTAACATACGTATTGCACGCTTTTCGCGCTTCTCTCTTGTACACATTACGACGTCAGTGTTATATGGATGTCTCTGAGAGAGATAAAAGATGACTCCAAAAACATGGCGTCCACAAAAGAGCTGATGACGTCTGAACACGTGCTGTGCTTATTCAGTCGAAAATAAATAGGGTGCTTAAAGATACCTGATATCTCGGTTATCCCAAAGCTTTGGTCTATATGTTACTTAAAAACATGCTTATTTTTTCCTGACCCATACGCTCTGTAAAGTAAGTCCCAACTGAATGCGGTTTGATTCAGCTAGACAATGGAGTCCTATGAACATGGATAAGTTTCAGGAGCTTTGTTAATTTTTTCAGGTTAGCATCAATGTTGAACTTCAATTTGACGCAACTCTGCGGGAAAAAGTGCAAAGACTTAAAAGTGAGAAATCCAGACAAGTACGGTTGGGAACCCAGAAGACTGCTCAGCCAACTTGTTGACATTTACCTGCATCTAGATTGTGATAAGTTTGCTGAGGCGCTCGCAGGTGACGAGGTAAGTTGTTTAATCATTTTCAAAACACAATTCCATGTACCAAAAATTGGAGGATGGAGGGTAATCATTACTTGAAAGGTTGAAGTCATGTTTAAGAATAAACGTTCTTCAATTAGGTTTATTTTAAAATACTCAGAATTGATCATTTCATCTCGTCCAGTATTATTTTTCCTTAAGGTGGCGAAAAACCCACATAAAAGTAGAAATGTTTATTAAAACCCCTTCTTACGACTGACTTTGACACCCTGTAGAGTGAGAGCATCAAGTACGATTAGTGTTCGAATTCGTCGAAAAAGGTTACTAACAATTGGCCATTGTTAAATTGTATTATTGTTATTCGCCCTCTGCTGTTTTTTTCAGGTTTTCTGGATTATGCCTAAAAGGTTCTAAAAATGGATAAATTCAATGCTTAAAAACTCGGTTAAAAATCATAATTTTTTTCTAAGATCCCCAGTGTTTTGAGATAAGTTTATTTTAATGCGATGTTTAACGTCTGTTAAAATGACAAACTTTTGATTATCGCAGATTGTACAGAATCGACGATATCTAGCGGTCACAGTGATGACCCGGCTGTCAATTGCGAACTGAGATACAGATCCAACATATAGCTTGCTGTTTCACTCCCGCAGTGGTCGATTCTGATAAAAGCAAAGAAAAAACCAAGAACTGAAAGACAGATGAATATAATATATATTGTGATTGATCTGTACTGTAACGGAAACACCGTTTATACTGTACAATGTGTAATTTATTACTCTACAGTTTTTTATATCCATGTCAACTGGACAATGTCGACGAGTCGGTCGCTGCTCGTTCACTGACTCTTCTACTTCCACTGCAGTGCACCAATCCAAAAGCACTCCAGAACATTCGCGCGCGATATTTCTCGAACGCTCCCGATAGCAACCGAGAACCCTCTCGATCGCTCACGCGCGAGAACGCAATTGCTGCCGAAGCTTCGCAAGCTGCGATAGATTATGGTGTAACTCTGGTAGCCTAATTATGCGGTAGAATCTTTTCGCCATTCAAGCTCCCAGTTACGAGGGCGTTACGGTACCGTGGTGGCTGAAAAACCAGTAAAAGTAATTCATATATACAGAGTGTCCCAATAGTACCACATTGACTCGAAATAAGTCGATTGGGCAGGATCTATTTCTTTGCAAAAGTGCTTCGTTTTTCTGTGAGAAAGTGCTTAGTTTTTCTGTGAGAGGGCATCAAAGTTTTATTTTTAAAACAGTGTTCGAGAAAATATAAATAAATTATAGTTGATTTTTTGGCAACTTTCCCATCGCCTCTGTTTTTTTTATCAGATCTCTTTATTTATCTCATTTTTTGTTTCATAAAAACAGGCCATTTCGTATAGTTTTCGAGAGAAAAAAACGAGTTGCATCAAGAGTTTCCGAAGCGTCTCATTAATTCTTTAAGTGTAGTTAGAGAAAATAAACAAGTATACTAAGTGACATATAAATCCGAACACCCAGTTTAAATGGTTTTATTTTAATAAAATTTTGTATAAGTACTTAATGAAGCATAATAAGTAAATGATAAAAATTTCAAAATGATTGCACTGCTTTAAAGCCCTTTGACCTTTAATAATGTGTGGATGCACCCTGATGTGCTACGCATTCTCCAACGCGCCTAGGCATGCTTCTGATCAGGTGGTCAATGTCCTCCTGTGGTATCTCATTCCAGGCAACCACCAACTCCTCTCGAAGTGCTTCTAGAGTCTGAGGAGGACGTTGCAAATTGAGCAATCTCCTACCCATCATATCCCACACGTGCTCAATTGGGGATAAGTCGGGAGATCTTGGTGGCCATGGTAACAATGTGACATCATTATGTTGAAAGAAGTCTATTGTGACTCTTGCAACATGGTGTCGGGCATTATCTTGTTGGAAAGTTGGATCTGCCAGGGTGTCAAGATAGGGTAAAAGATGGGGTTCTAGAACTTCGTGGATATTCTGCTTACGGTTATAGTGCGCTCTCCCTCTTTCTTCCAAAAAACCACAGACTCGACCAAATTTACTACCCAGAAAAACAGCGGCGGAACAAACAATGGAAATTAAAGTAAAATTGCCACGCCACGCCAAAATTTTCGTTCCTTTACATAACAATACGGCGCAGAAAATTTTAACATTTCATGTAATACGAAAAATATTTTTTTTCTCGAAAACTATGCCAGATTTCCTGTTTTTATAAAAGACAAAAAAGGACCTTTTAAATAAAATAAGAGTCGTTGGAAGACTTGCGAATTAATCCTGCTATAATCTATGTAGGGGTGGGAGTAGTTTTCACCCTTCTCGAACCCTTTTGGTTCTTTGTAAAAGTCAAATACTAGGACGTCTAGCAAAACACAAATGTTCCAAATTTCATTCATCGGTTCCAAAAATATCTAAAGAAATGTATTTTTAAAAGAACACTTTGATGAGCTGTAACAGACAGTGAAAGCACTTTTGCATAGAGGTAAATCATGTCCAGTTGACTTATTTTTAGTCGAAAGAATACGTGGTACTACTATTTCCATGGAATATTGGGTCACCCTGTATGTGGTTTCATTTGCATAGAAAATTATTGAGTTCGACAGAACCTCTCCTATTCACCATTGCATATCGAAGCAGTCCATAGAACCTTTGTTCTTGGTTGAAATATTGTCAGTCAGTCAGATCTGATTGCCCTGATACCAGACAAAGTTATGGAAATAGAAGAGAAGGGGGAAGAAAGGGAAAAATAGATGTTCATGTGGTGATATCAACTATGATTCTTATCCTCCTTTTTTCTTCAGCGTTCCTTTAGGAAAGAACTCTTCGACGACGCGGTGATGCGCTTGGAACGCCTCTCGATAAAAACGTCCGCCCAGATCGAGCAGTTCAAGAACCTTTCGGAAAAAGCCTGTCAGATCCTAGAGAACAATCAGAAATCAGAAGACTGGCTAGCGGACGCTCCGGACGAGTTTAAGGATCCCCTGATGGACACTCTGATGACTGACCCTGTGCTGCTGCCTAGCGGACAAATCATGGACCGATCTGTCATCCTGAGGCATCTCTTGAACAGCAACACTGATCCTTTCAACAGGCAGTTGCTTACCGAAGAGATGTTGATACCTGGTAAGTTTGACAGAACAACAGACACAGATAAATGTATAATGTAAGATTTCTTCATGTGCTGGTTTACAGTTATAAGTCTGGACAAATATTTTTTTAACGTTAACTTCACACAAATTAAAGAAATGAAACTAACAGTCACCGAGGTGCTTTTTTGGTTCTTTCCATAATATTGCAGGTACTCTGATCTCATACGGCTTCCTTTACCACTGACCCTCTGTGTCAAGTCTTCATAGTATGGGGTTGTCCAAAACGGACGCAGGAAAGTAAACGCATATTAAAACAAGAAAGATTGATATTCAAATCAAGTTGGGTACTTTATTTTGAAGGTTCATTTATACCATTTATGTATGAAAAATAATATCGCTCAAATGTTCACCACGACTGGATTTACAGACGTCCACGCGATGGTCGAAATGTTCAATGACATTTTGCAACATGGTCGGTTCTATGGCATTTATCTCGGCAATGATGTTGTTTTTGAGTTCTTAGAGGGTGGCTGGTTTGTTGACGTAGACTTTGCTTTTCAAATATCCCCATAAAAAGAAGTCCAAGGGAGTCAAATCGCACGATCTTGGTGGCCATGGCACATTTCCTCTGCGCGAAATCACGCGATCACCGAAGAAGGACTGCAATCGATGGATATTGACGTTGGTTGTGTGGCATGTTGCACCGTCTTGTTGTAAATAAACATCGTCCATATCCATTCCATCAAGTTGCGGCAAAAAATAGTCCTCTATCATCACGTGATATCGCTCAGAATTGATGGCAACGGCACTTTTTGAGGATGCATCGGCTGCTCTTGATACTCACGGGGATTTTCGTTCGCCCAGATGCGGCATTTTTGCTTGTTTACCGTCCCATTCAAAGTGAAATGCGCTTCGTCGCTGAACATGATTTTTGATGAAAAATTGGCATCAATTTGGCGGTGTTCAAGGAGCCAATCTGAGAACGTTCGGCGCGAAAAATGGTCGGCCCGACGCAGCTCTTGCGTCAATTGGATCTTGTAGGCGTGTACATTCAAATCGTTGTGGAGAATGCGGAGCAAACTGGTTCTCGAAATGCCCAATTCTTGGGATCGACGCGTTGTTGATTGTTTCGGATCGTCTCTCACACTCTCCTTCACAACAGCAATATTTTCCGGTGTGCGAACGCTCCTTGGCCGGCCAGAGCCTGGCAGATTTGCCACAGAACCTGTTGCCTCGAATTTACGCACCAGACGACCGATAGTTGTTTCGTTTGGGCGGTTGTTGCAACCGAAATGTTCACGAAGCGCGCGAAACGTGTTTTTTATTTTTGCACCATTTTTGTAGTGCTCTTGAATAACTTTAATGCGGTCTTCAATCGAATACGACTCCATAGCGATCAATGGTAAACATTCAACTAACAAAATGACATGTCGGTGACAGAAATCAAAGATGGCGTCTATGTCAAATTGACGTTTACTTTCCTGCGTCCCTATTGGACAATCCTTTACTTTTTGCATACTATTTGGGGTATCCACAGCTCATTTTCATATACAGTTTCGGAAAAAAAAACTTTTCATAAAAATCTTTTATGGGTTTTTCTGGACTTGTATATGTTACAAGAAATTCAGATTATTAAGGCCTCCTCTTCGTTATGACATGATATTCATCTCAAAGAACACACACCAAAGCACTGCAACCCCTTTTTATAAACAAGAGGAAATTGTGGTGTGAATCCTCGTGCAAATATTTTTTTAACTCTTTCTAAGGATTTTTTTGTGTTGAAAAAAGAAAGTTATGCTGCCACACCCTGTACAAAACCACTAACTATATCTCGACACCAAAATTATTTTTTTTGTTTTGTTGAAATGTATTATATATATTAAATATTTTTTTTTCAGCGGACGACTTGAAAGAGAGGATACGAATATGGAAGATAGAACGAACGTCGAAATCCAATTAAATTTATTTTTATACATTCTCTTCTGTAAACGTATGTTTGTTTGATGAAAATCGTTTTACAAAAACAATTTAAACAATTTGTGATTGAGTAGTATTCGTCTAATTTTTTACTTTTTCTACGTCTTGAATATACAAGAGATTTGAAATTTCTTTTGATAAAAACAAATTGTTAAGGCTAATGAGAAAGAGTTTATGATTGCTATAGATCTCATTTTTAAGACCCAAATGCATTTTCACAACTAATCCTCAAACTGCCACGCTGTTCAGATAAGGAAAATTTAGTCACATTTGCATGTTTTCATCTCACAAGTATGCATTTTTTTTTAGTATGATCACTTCTTACGCAAAACGATTTAAAAAGGATCTCGAGAATTGCAATGTTGCCTTTTTTCAATGATGCTTTTTCTAATTTGTATTATTTTTGCTTTGATCATAAGTAAGCTTTTTTTTACATCTTAAACCTGTTGTTTTAACTATTTTGCGGCCAAATGCATTTATTTACTAGCTTTTTGCCCCGCAGTTTTACCCGTGGAGCGTACCCACTTTTATTTTGCACCAGCTCTTACCCACGACTTTGTACGCTTGAAGCTGTTTGTAACATAAAGCGTTTTTAAGTAATGCTAACTTCCGGTCACGTTTTGTATCTTTGATGGCATTAGTAAATTGACAGCCAACGGCATGCTTGGGTAATTAGGTTACTTTATTAGTGGCGCTACCTGCAGTCCGCGGGGCAGGACGCTAGCAGACTATAAATTTTTGACCATCCATGAAGGCAGTAAATGGTTAACCTTGAAAGTGTAATTATTACACAGTGTTTATACGTTAAAAATCTAACATACTTGTGAATTGATTTTTGAAAAGTTTACAGACCTTTTTTGCTGGAAATCCATAAAAGTTTGCTAAAAGTATCGTTCATTGAAAAACAATGATTTGTTTATTCGGGTCAGTTTTCTGATAGAGTGGGAGAGATTTCTGAGAGTTTACTGTACATAGTCAGTTGGTAGAGCATTCTGTGAAATGTATGATGTATATTGTAAGAGTTATGGAATTTTTATTGAAACTAATTTGATTATTTCTGGTCGTAACTTGTTCATATATTTTTGTTCTTCTTAGAATAATCAAATTTGTTTTGAGTATATTGAAGTTTTTTTATAAAGAATCCTTAGTTATAGTGACATAGAATAAAAAATTTGTAAAAATTGCTGTTTTTTTTTCTACATCTTACCAAAAGCACAGAGTACTACCAGAAATGGAGTGTCAAAAGTCGGATACGTGGCGCTTGGTGGGGGATCCGACACTCTCACTATGACACAAACAATGATTCAAAAAAGTAGAGCAAGCAATAGAAACGTGTGTTGTCTTTCAGAGCTATCTTCCAGGGATAGGATAGTATCATTTAACAGAAGGAAGCACATTAATTTGTAAATCCTGGAACTTCTAATAGTACCTTCAATATGCGGCTACCCCAGAGAAAATTAACATCATCCCGCTTTTCGAAAGTTGTAAATATAAAGTATTTAAAACTGCAATGTCAATGACGATTTAAACGCCGCATTTCCGGGTGCGGAGACCCGGAGCACCTAGACCAGAGTTCCCCAAACTCTTTTGTGTCGTAGACCCCTGCCATGTTTTTCCGTGTTGGGTAGACCCCCTACTTACCTGATATTGATTTCCTGTAAATTTCTAACTGTAGTGAAGTTTAGTGTTAAAAACTTAAAGTAAAAACACATGTTAATTTATACATTTATTAATTGAATTTAAATTAAAACTACTCAAAATAAAATTTTGTATCTGTTATGTAAAATATACAGGTGTCTGACCAATAAGTGCCCGCATTAGGAATAAGTGCCGACATTGAAAAAAAATAAGAGGGATAAAATAAAAAAAAAGTGAAAAATAATAAAAAAAAGTGTTTTACTTAAATAGTACAATAAGCGAGTTCGTTTATTAATTATAACATAAACGTATGTTCTACAATAATTTCACTGTAAGTTTGATTAAATTCCGCTTCTTATACGTTTAAGTTATCTAAAAATAGGCAAAAAATTAACGAATTTTAGAGTGTACATATCCTTGAATTTTCAGAATAATTTAAAAAAAAATATTTTCTATAAAGGGGGGTTCTTTAAAAAAATCAATGCGGGCACTTATTCCCAATGCGGGCATTTATTGGTCAGACACCAATAAACATAAAATAAACTATAAATAAAATAACATAAGCAATAAGTCAATATTTTTAGTGAGAAGGATGAACCTGATGCTTTAATAATAAATTATCAACATTTGGCGTCAATTTTGTAAGGGTTAATCTTAAATCTCCTCGGCTAATGATGTCCAGTCTGTTTCTTTTTTTCGTTAGGAGATTGGTAACAGCGCTGAACCCCCTTTCCACTAGGTATGACGATGGAAAGGAAATTAAAAATTTCCTCGCTATATTCCATAATACGGGATAAGTAACGGTTATGTTGTTTTGCAGCCAGAATTGCTGATATCCGTTTTTAAACTGAACCTTAAGTTCTTCGTTTGTACTTAGTTCAGTCAGTTCCTCTTGTATTATGACATTCGTTTCTTCTATGTCACCATATGGATTAATTATCCACGGTGGTATTACCATAGTCAAAATATCCTCAAACCTAGATTCAAAATCTGAATAGAGGGCATTTAAATGTTGAACGTAAGTTGAAATGTCGTCTTCCTGGCAGCTTGTCTGTGACAAATTGGGGAACTGAGAAAATTCGCCCCGTCCAATATTTTGCTTCATTAGTTTAACTCTGGCAAGAAACGCTGATAAGATGGACTTTGTTTTAATCAAATTTAAACTGTCGCCTTGTAATTGCAAATTAACCATATTAAATTTTGTAAACAAATCTGTTGAATAGGCGATGTCTGTTTTCCTCTTCATTAAATTTTCTTTTAAAATTTCATCTTTAGTATCCAGAAATTCTAAAATAGTCTCAAAAAGTGCAAAAAATCTTGTCAAACATAAGCCTTTCGACAGCCAGCGTACTTCAGTGTGAAGGAGTAATTGATGAAAGTGTTCGTCATTTTCTTCACACAACTGCGCAAATAACCGCGTATTCAACGCGTTGATTCGGATTCAGTTTACTGCATCAATGACTAAATGAAGTGATTCATGCAATCTAACACTCAAATTTTTAGCAACTAAATGTTGTCGATGGATGACGCAATGTATTGCTAACACCCCTGACACATTTTGTTTTAAATAGCTTATAAATCCACGATAACGTCCAACCATGGCAGGTGCTCCATCTGTAGCTACTGATATTATATTTGATAAAGGAATTGCTTTTTCAATGAAATAATCCTTCAAAACATGAAATATTGATTCACCTGTGTCGGTTAGTTCTTGCGAAGAGCAGTTCTTCGTAGATTTCTTGATTCATAATAAAACGAACATATGCCAATAATAATGCTGCATTATCAGGTAAAGTTGACTCGTCCAGTTGTATAGAGAAATGGGTCGTTTGCAAATAATTACATAAGAAGCTTTCAATATCAGAACTCATTTCATCAATACGTCTTTCAACAGTATTGTTGCTTAAGGGAATTCTTTTAATGATATCAGATGCAGGTTGGTGTAAAACAGTTTTTAAAACCTCTTCAACGGCTGGCAAAATTAACTTCTCTTCGATAGTATGCGGTTTTTCGGATTTTGCTATAAGTAACGAGATATTGTAAGACGCCCGCAAACCATCATCATTTCTTTGTGACGTCGAAGCGAACATTCTGTCCAGTGTATATCTCTTCTGAAATTTATCTTTGAGTGTTTGAAAGTATTTCAAATCTTTCTCTGTTTTATCAGGGTGGCATCTTCTCAGATGATCTTGCAGTTTAGATGGTTTCATAGCGTCATTGCCCAAAACTTTGTTGCATAAAAGGCACATAGGCGATTGTTTGTCCGGCAATGATGGAATGAAGCCAAATTTCAAATAATCAACACTGTACTGTCTACATTTCTTTTTAGATTCGGACATGGCATCAGTCATCTGTGGGCAAAATTAAATTATTTAAATAAGACAGAAAATCCAGCAGCTGTATATTAAAAATATTTTTTGATTTTTCCGATAACATTCCAAAATTCGAACATCTTCTTGCAACAATTAGCTCGAATTACGGAGATTGCACTGTAATTATATTACCGATTGCTAAAACTTTCAAAAAGAAACTATTGAGGAGTACTCGTGTAATACTGCATGATTGAATATTTAACTACTAATAACTAAAGTCATGATTGGCGTAATTTATCTATCTTTGCTAACTACGAGTACAAAACTGAAATTTAATAAAAAATAATGTACTTACTTTTCTCCAGCACTCTCAAACAAAATAACACTGACTCACTATAATTTGTGTGATATACTATCTGTTTATATTTTTTAAAATATTTTCTTAGCACTTTCCTTTTCAAGATTCAGGAAACGAATAAACGTATTTGTCCCACATTCGTATTTATAGAGTGACGAATTGAACAAGTCAATGCAAGGTAGCGAAGCTCTGAGACTGCGACTCTCAGGTTTTTACAAGTTCAAAATGTATTGCGACCACAAAGCGAATACCAACATCCTACAACTTACACAATTTTATAAACATATATAATAAATTTTTTACTTCATAGGTACTTTTATAAATAATGTATATGTTTTGATATTATAAGATAGTATGATGTAAATAAATAGGTACTATCAGTGTATGTGTTGAGATCCACTATCGTGGACCCCCATATTCATTTCATGGACCCCCAAATTTTTTTTCGCTGACGTAGACCCCTTGCAGGTTGTCATAGACCCCTAGGGGTCGATATAGACCACTTTGGGAATCAATGACCTAGACAATGCATTTCCCAACGCTTGGATTGGCAGAGATGGTCCGATCCCATGGCCTGCAAGATCGCCGGACTTGACCCCGCTTGATTTTTACATCTGGGGCCGTGCTAAAGCACTAGTGTATTCCGAATCCATTAATACAAGAGAACAATTAATCGAAAAAATTAATAATGCTTTTGTGTTACTGAAACGAGAAATAACACTACAGTATACCACAAGGGAAATAAGAAAACAAACTCAATTTGAACACGATTTACGTGTTAGAATGATAAACAGTTTGTACCTGCTCAGTTAGGTAATTGAAATGATTTGGCTGCATCCGCTATCACGAATCGTTAAAGATACATTTATTTTTTGTTGAGTTATTAAATTATTTATGTTACATGTGGCATACCGTTAGAAAGATTGCTAACTAGATAAGTTTTTAATAAAATTTGTAAACCCTCTTTTGTGTTATTTTTTTGCTCATTGTAAAGTTGACGTAACATTTTTTCCATTGATTTAAGGAAGTTTGTTGCTCCACTGTTACTTGTTCTTCAACTGTTTGTATCAAATGTTGGTTTAATCTGAATGAAGTAGCAGTAGATTTGAGAAAAAAAACAATTTGAAACTTAAATTTATAAACTGGGGATTTTCTTAAAAAAAGAAGAAATCATTATTTCTCCTTAAAACTGAGGCAAAATGTAAATTAATTAGGCGTTGTAAATAGCCAATATCCTCAGCCATCCGCCATTTCCGTTTGGCTACTCACTCTTCCCACACCCTGTATAGATTGTAAATGAAAATAATTAAGCGATTTTTGAATCGCATTCATTGTCGGATTCGTAATCTCTGTATCCGATTAGTAATTACTGAGGAAGCGAATCTATGCACCCTATTTACTCAAGAGGCCAGCCTTTGCCCAGATCATAGATACGATGAGATGTTTGATTCTTGTAGGCGCTGAATTTAAATATGCCAAGTGTCAGGAACTTAAGATTTAAGACTTAAATCTTGTTGTGGGTGTCGCAGATTGGTCTGTTGAGGGGTCCTTACATTTTTTTGTAAACTACAGGGAAAATAATAGACAGTAAACAAGAGATGTATACGTTTATTTGAATAAGAGATCGTGTAAAACAACAATTGAGGGAAATGTTGACATTCGAGTTTGAATTATAAATGCATTTATTCATTTTTAATGATTCACTTAAATGTTATTGGTACTTTTATCAAAAACATTAAAAAATAAGGATAATCAACTGTGTCGGGTTATCTTAATTATCAAATAAGGCATCAGTGACATTTGTGGTTCATTTTGGCATCTCAATCTCTCAATCACAAGTATCCATCACGCTTTAACATCTTATGAAGTTAACAGCTGATCAGCAAGTGACAGGTTTGTGTTAGTCTGCGACGTTGGCAATAATGAATCGGGTGTAAATCCAGTAAAACTTGTTTGTAGCGTTTTGTGTCTAGTATGCAACTGAACTTTTCTAAATAAAAGAGCTGTTTGCAAGTACAACATGCATCTGTAGCGTACAAAAAACCAAAACAAAATACGGCTCTGACTACCTGACGGTGACGGATCCGTTAAAATTACGTGTCCTGTGTCGATATGGGGAATTTTGAGATATTATTAGACGATCAGCATCATTCTATCGTGATGGATACTCGTGAAATAGGGTATAGTGATATTTGGCGCAGGGACTTGGCGAATAACTCGAGTTGTATACTTCTTCAATCGAACTCTTATCCACTTAATATGCCTTAAAGAAAAAAAGTCTAGGGGTGTGAAATCGCATGTTCTAGGCGGCCAGTTAATTGGTTCGGAACGAGAATTTAGCTGTTCGCAATAAAGTAATTTTTTCACAGGCTATGTTGCAAGCCGAGCCACACCATCTTGACAAAACCAAATGTTCTGTAGTCTGTTATCATGGTGAGATAACGGTCGCCTAATACCATTCGAAAAGCTCGGATACCTCATCAAACATTCGAAATCCAGAATGAACCACATTGACCGCAATATCGGATAACACAGCTAACATTTGAATGTGCAATAAAAACGTGCAGTCTGCGAAAATCAAGAGTTTGCCAGTTTTGACCTAACAAGCTAAAAAATCGCTTTAAAATAAAGTAATCTCAAAATAGTCTTCGAAGTCTTGTAGATAGAGCAAACTAAAATTTGTAACAGGGTTTTTAAGCATTTAATATACCGCATGCTAACCCAGTTCAAATTTGTTTAAATAATTTTATTTGAATAAATTAATGCTTTTTGCCTGGACGAATTTTTTATCAGGTTTTCTGGATCTTCTTGAACAAAAAAGGTTTCCAGTAACCTTTCTCTAGAGTTGTCCATTTTAGAAATGTAATTCTTAAAAAATACGTTAAAAACTATAATTTTTGAGGTCTCCAAGTATCTCAATTAAAGTTTAAACCTTGGTTTATATTTTAATGATTTTTTAACGTTGTCTGTTATGCCAAATTTGGCGAACTTATTATCGCAGACTGCACCTCCAAGTTTATCACGCGTTATCAGTTCACGATTATCGTTACATATCTTTGAATTCCCCAGTACCATTCAACAAAAGAATGTCAGGATTTTCTTTTTCAAACTCGCTAGGTTCCCTTTCTCTGTCTTCTTGTCCCCACTCGCCTACTGAACTCATCACATTAGGCAGCTTCCGTTTCTCTGATTCTTCCAAATAAGTGTCCATTTTTGCAAACTTGTCGAACATGTTTGCATACACCTGCAAAGAAAACTGATTTTACTTCCCACGCGCAAGCGAAGGAAGCATTATAATCGCGAATAATTTCGATTTTAAGTTTTTCCATATGTTTGAACAGGGTGAGGCAGAATTGTTCGAGATTTTTCGGTCGAGTAGCAACGTTTACTTAAAACAATTAAGATATACGCTAAAACAGAAATTTAAAACAAAAATAAACAGCCTATACCTCACTTTCATCTAAATAAAAATAATACGAGCCCCTTCCCACTTCAGTTGGCCCAACTATTGAAATCATAGTTTTTTTCTTATCAAACACAAATAATAAAAATGTAGCAGGGTGTTATAGGTTTAAAATATTAACAATGAATATTTTGATAATATATTGTAGAAAACACAAACTTTATCACTCCCTAATCAAATTTGCAGCATAAAAATAACACGTGTTGCAATTACAGCATATCAACCTATTTTCATTTCAATGCAAAATAAGTCTATAACGCATAGGTGGCTGTGAAAAATAAAAGCCATGACAATTGTTTTTATTAATCACAGCTGTCAGAATACGTTTAAAATAGTTTTGGGTAGTTAAGGTTTTCAAAATGGGTAGAGGAAAGGTTATTAGTGAGAAAATTCGGTTAGTGATAATTAAATTTTTTTATTCTGGGAAATCAAACTCAGAAATTGCAACTTTCTTAGACTTATCGCGGTACAATGTGAGAAATATTGTTGTTAGAAGATATAACGTAACTGGTTCAGTTAATATTAAGCCACCATATGTGAAAAAAAGTAATATCACAAATGCCGACGGAAGAGCATTAAGAAGAATAATCGTGAAAAACAGGCGTGCCAATTATTTACAATTAAGTGCTCTGTGGAGTGACGCTGTTGGAAGGAGAATTTCGAGGTCCACAACTCATAGAGAGGCCCACCAACTGGGATTTAGCACTTGCAAGGTAAGTTTTCTTATAAAAAAAGTGAAGTAAAAACCCTAAAGTTGCACAATTTGTTTATAGGCCAAAGAAAAACCACTATTAACTGCACTACAAAAGAAAAATCGGCTTAGATGGGCTAAAGAACATAGACAATGGACACCTCAACAATGGTGTGCAATACAATGGAGTGATGAGGCCCTATTTGAAGTTTGTGTTGGTGACAGTCGCAGTAGAGTTATTCGCAAAAAAGCATTCCATGTTGACTGTCTGAAGAGAAAAGTGAAATTTCCAGCATCCATTATGGTCTGGGGCAGTATGTCATCAAAAGGAGTAAGAAAACTTCATTTTATTGCTGGAAATGTGGATACAAACAAATATTTGGCAATTTTAGAAGAATCGCTTTTACCAGTGATGGAAGAATGTTTGACATCCGGCCAGATGTCAGCAAGATGGTGCAGCGTGCCATACCTCAAAAAAGGCTATAAAATGGATGGAAGAAAATAATGTACCACTTTTGAAATGGGTTTCTAGCAGTCCAGATCTGTCACCTATTGAAACTTTGTGGCACGAGATCAAAACTTGGTTAACACTATGCTCCAAAGAATTTCAGCCGTAATAAAAAATAAAGGTGATGTTACCCAATGGTAATCTTTCAATTGTTGCTTTGTTAACTTCGCGCATTTATTCGCACAATGTTTATTTGTTCAGATTTTCTATTAGTTATAGGTCTCAGTGATTTCAAATATGTATTTTTTAGGACTAGAGTGTATCTAAAATGTATTTGAGAAAATAAATTGTTTAAGAAGTAAATAGTTTCGTCATGTTTAGTTTATAAAGGCATATTTTGGTACAAATCTTGAAGTGGGCCAACTGAAGTGGGAAGGGGCTCGTACATTCTCAAGCAAATTTCAAAAAAGTGTATACGATAAAAATTAAATCTGTCAACTGTAGTTTCAACATATCACTTGATTTAATCAGTATTCTGATTAGTTTTGGTATAATTTCTTTGTCATTTTAAAATTGTGTTAGTTTTTACTATTACTGTATAAAATTAATTTAGAACTGGTGAACATAAGCAACTATTCTAGGTTAACTGTTTGAAGTTTAATCATACCAATAGTTTTGCAATGTTATTCTGTCCTCAAAACCAGCTATGAACGTTTTGAAAGGACGATTGATTTGAGGGTAAATAACGTACATATATCGCTGGTCACACATGCAAAAAGTTTAGGTGTCACTTTAGACGTAAATCTTAGATTTCATCACCATGTCAGTAATATCTTGAAAGCTACATATGCAAACTTAAGGAACCTATATTCCAATCGTTCTATCCTCAATTCCAAGACTCAAAAGAAAATAGTAGAGGATTTAAACTGCTTTACTGTTTCGTCCTATCTTATCCTTGTCTTGACTCCATAACAAAAACCAGATTGCAGAAAATTCAAAACTGTTGCTGTCATTTTGTTTTCGGTCTTCGTAGGTACATCTAAGATTTTTTGGGGTGGGTGAAGCTCCAAAATCTTTTTAGGTTTTTGATGTCAGTTTTTATGCACGAAATAAACATCACCAAGAGTCGTATGTACCTAGCAGGTAAGTTTGTTCCTCGTAGAACTCTAATTACGAGGTTATGCCATGACGACCAGTTCAATATTCCTCTTCATCATACTGCATTGTATCAAAGATCTTTTATGCCGTCCACTTATACAATTAACTCAGTACCTCTAGCAAACAAAAGGTTAAACTGCCTTTAAAAAATTGTTTAGAAAACAGCTGTTAGAGATGCAAACATCTCTCAATGCTTGAGCTACTGTTTTGTTATTCTGCAATTCTTATTCATTCGTTCTGTAATTTTCTTATTTTGCGTTTGTAACCTTTTTTTGTTTTATATCGTCCATATTGTGGTTAAACAGACGAGTATCCGACGAGCTAAACTTCGTCATGATGTGGAAGATTACCAATAAAGTCACTTTATTGTTATTTTATTAGTCATTTTCCTTCTGGACTGGAAGAGTGCTGCGATAGTATCCGTACTGAGACAGTTCGTTATACTGCTTTTCATTAGATTTATTTGTTAAAACACTGACTTAACGGAAGCTGAGGAGTGAGTAATTATTAAAACGCTGAACACTAATCAGGTTAAAACTGTAAAACATTTAGGTACCATCTCCATATTTCAAATGGACAACCGAGCTCCAGAATAGTTGTACGCCACTCTGTATCTAGAGATTGTTAATCTTCTCCACTATTAAATTTGGAAAAATTCTTATCAAGTCAGCTCTTGACAGGTTAGATCCAGATTTTACTATAGCTGGATCTATGAAAGATTTTTCTATTTGAATATCAGTTGATGATAAAAGAAGAAAAAAGTTCATTGTTTCACTAGATTTTGCATTAAATTCGGTAGTTCAGTAGACCAGGACCAAAATCGGTATATCTACGAAAAAAATCGGTAGACCTTACACAAAAACAAATGCCCGGTATCCTCGTTCTTTAAAACGCATCTATTTTTTATGCATTTTAAATCGTACCCAAAAATAATCGAGGAAAAGTAACAATCACTCTTGCAAGAATAATAAAAAACATACAATAAAATAGTGATGAAACACCAATGCTTTTAATATAAAATAATTGATTCTCTCACTACCTATTGAATTTTAATAAACAAAGTTAACCATCGTCCAGTTTATTGTAGTTCAATTCTATATACCACCTGCCTCGCGTTTCTTTGCTAAATGAAGTTACCAACTTGATGTAAGCAGAAATTACACTAAAATTCTGCCAGCCATCTGTCACAATCAACGAATTCAGACTAGGTAGAATTAGCATGCCTACGATTTGTTCGTCTCCAAAAAGCACAGTCTGTAGTCAGGTTAAAAGTGAATAATATTACAAGTGGATTTGACATAAGTTAATGTTTTGGCAGTTTTGTAATTAAATTCGTATTTTTTTAAACTGTAGATAATTGTGGGGTTAGACGATTTCAAGATTTCTTGCATAATTTACAGACAGCAGCACAAGCCTCAGAAGGTATCTTTTTCACCAGTAAGCATTATTATTATTATTATGGTGATACAGTTTGATAGGCAATGGTCGTTAAATGAGTCCAAATTGTCCTCTAAAAATAAGCAATTTTGGAGAAAAAACAAAGAATTCTGTTCGAATTTGTTGGTCAGAACGACTTGCCTCGATGCTTGGTAGTGGCATAAAGTTGTGATATTCATATATTTCTCAGTAAAGAAGCCACCTTTGTTGAATGTTAAGCCCATTCCACACAATTTCGCATAGGCATCAAATAGATATTGATGACTAAAAGCAATAAGGAAACTTTATATGGAGAAAAGTCCGTCTACTTTGACATTTGACGATTTTACCATTTCTAAGTGAAAAAGCAAATTACGTAATTTCATAGCAAATGAGACTGCGTAGATGTATGTATCTATGTGTTTATTTATTACATCAAGTATACATTGCAATATAAAAAAAACACCCTTCATCACCCACATAAGAGTACAGCACAGACAAAACACTCACACCAGTCTGATTTAACTATAAATGCATCGAAATGTTTCTAACGTCTCGGTTTGCCAATTTTCCATCTAGAGTCACGAAACAGGCTGTGTGTCCATCTTCGCAAATTTAGCAAACATATTTGCATATACCTGGAAAATAGATTAGGATTGGTTGTTTTTTGTTTAGACTGTAAACGGTCCAACGCTCTAGACACACTTAATCTCTATGCGAACACTCTGATCACAAATATTTTCAGAATCACTTCTTTTTCGTATCACTCATTAGGTATGGAACATTTTTTCCCAAAAGCTGAACCAATTTCGGCGTCTTAGGAGAAATAAAAAATCTTCAAGCTTTGGTATGTCCAGTTTACATAAAAATCGTTTTTGCAGATGAGTAACATTGTTGACCTTTTGTGGCGTAGTTTCGAAATTTTGTTGGAGATCAACTTTCTTTTCACTTCCCACACCAACTGGAAAAACTTCAAAATCAAGATACTATGCTACATGCTCATTTCCGTCAGCCTGTCTGTCTGTCGATCTGTCCGCTATAAATTGAGAAGTACCGCTGGAATGTTGA